TCCTTCCTTCCTTCCTTCCTTCTTCCCTTCCCTCCCTTTTATACCGTCTTTATTATTTTTACAAATAACTCAAGATGGCAAACATATCCAACAGAACTTCCTCCTCCTATTTTCACAACAACCCTGTGCGGGAGGTGGGTTGGGCTGAGGGACTGGCCCAAAGTCACCTAGCTGGCGTTCATGCCTAACGTAAGACTAGAACTCTCAAATTCCTGTTCATTGGGCCACTTAAACTGGCTTTCACGCCTAAAATGGGCTTGAATTCCCAGTCACCTGGTGATTGGTCCAAAGTCACCCAGCCGGTTTTCATGGCTAAGGTGGGAGTAGAACTCAAGAGTCTCTGTTTTTTTCTTTAACCTGGGGCCTTGACCACAAGACCAAACTGGCTCCAAAATAGATTTCAAGGGATATTGATATTATATTGGAAATTATGCGATCTCAAACACGTTTATCCTATTCTTGGTCTCAACACTGAGTGTCTTGGCTCACCTCTCTTTCCTTCTCTCCACAGGTATGGCCAGCTACACGAAACCTCCCAGTTTGCTGACCCCATATGGCCGGAACGCCTCCTTTCCCGAATATCCTTGGAATTTTAACCCTTACCTGTCCAGCACTTTCCCCCTGAACAGCTCCAAACTGCCCACCTCTCTCTATTCCCCTCATTTCTACCCCAACCCTTTGTCTGGCTCCCTGGCCCAGCTTCCCACACCCATCTCCCTCCTAACCAATGAGAACCCCGAGAGAACTACAGCCCTGGCCGGTAGCTCCGTGCCCCGACTCTGCCTCCCGACCCATAGCACAACTCTGCCCCTCCGTGGGGATGTCCACGGACCGAGCGTTCGCAATAAAGAATTGCTAGGCACCAGGCCATCCAGCCCTTCCGGGGCCCGAGGGGCCAAAGAGGACCCAGCGTCCGATTCCGAGTTGGAAATCACAGATTTGAGTGAATGCAGTTCGGAAAACGAAGGCTGCGACTTCAGCCCCGACAGCCTGGAGACTTTAGAGAGCCAGGTGCCCAATTACAAGCGGCTGGAGGGTGAGCGGACGGCCAGAGCAAGGCCCAGTCAGCTAGATGGGGAGGTGGGAGTTGGCCTGGCTCTTATCAAGCAAGGGAAGGCTCTTGCAAGCAGTTGAAAGCGAGCCCCCAAGGAGCTTGATGGCCCCCAAGGAGCTTCTCTCTGGTCCCCCCACCCCACCTGATTTGAAACCAAGGTTAAAGGAAACAACTAAGCCCACCCCTCTGTGTCCACTCGATGTCTATTTTTATAGGAAAGTTCTATTCAAGGAATATACTGAGTCTAACCCCACCCCACCCCATACAATCACCCCCTTCCCCAGTCCTTCAAACGAGGCTGGAATTCTCTCCCTACTTAAAATTTAAAACTTTCTGAGCTTGTCGATCAGAAGGTTGGCAGTTCGGCAGTTCGAATCCCTAGTACAGGTCTTCTGAGTGAGGAGGGAGGGTTGGATTAGATGACCTCTAAGGTCCCTTCCAACTCCTTTGAAACCATCTTTTGGAGACTGGGACTGGAGAATGATGGGGGTTTTAAAAGAAATCCCCAGATCCAAGGGTGAAATCCAGCACGTTCTAACAGGTTCTGGAGAACCAGTAGCAGAAATTTTGAGTAGTTCGGAGAACCAGCAAATACCACCTCTGGTTGGCCCCAGAATGGAGTGGGAATGGAGATTTTGCAATATCCTTCCCCCAGGAGTGGGGAGGGAATGGAGATTTTGCAGTATCCTTCCCCTGCCACGCCCACAGAACCGGAAGGGAAAAAATTTGGATTTCACCTCTGCCCAGATCCCACCTGACTGGCTGACCGATCACAGAGTTTTCCTGGTCACACTTTTCCCGCTCTCCCCCCCTCCCCAAATTTATTTCCTCCAAGAGGCTGCTCTCAGTTCAAAAGCCCTGTGGCCACCACTGTCCGTCCCAGATCTTCTCCACGATGGACCTGTCCCTGTTCATGGACTGGGCCAGTTCCACAACAGCCCAAAATAACAGGGGTCCCAATTCAAGAAAAATCCCCATCTCAAAGGTAAAATGTGCAATAGCTCCTTTTTCTTCTTTTTGTTTTTTTAAAGAAAAGCCTTGTCACGGAGATCTGTAAAACAGGGGTCTCCAAACTTGGCAACTTTAAGACTTGTGGACTTCAACTCCCAGAATTCTGGGAGTTGAAGTCCACAAGTCTTAAAGTTGCCAAGCTTGGAGACCCCTGCTGTAGAGAGAATCAGTTTACTTAATTTTGGTGGCCAAGGGAAAACCTCCTCCACCACCACCACAAAGTTTCTCTACCTTTAGCTGGCTTGGTCCCCTGATTTTGCTCCCCAAAATCAGGCATCTCCCAGAGGCGAACATCTACCCAAGGTCCTACCAGGATCTTTTCCCAACTAACCATGTTTACTAAAAGGCTATGCTTTTACACCCCCATAGACGTAACACAACTCCTGAATTCAGTGAAATTTCTCCCAAGATACTTTGTCCAACAGAAGTGCAGGAGAATTTGTTGGCAAAAGTACAATCTGGGGTGGCTTAACTCCATTGATCTCCCTTGCAGGTGTCTTTAACAGTAATTTAAGAAAGGTAGCTTGTTCCCTTAGTCCCAGCAGAAGCTTAAAGGCTGCCCCGTTTTGAATATTTGTGCATCCTTGTCATTCAAAGGGTCAGCTAGAACAGGGGTCTCCAACCTTGGCAACTTTAAGCCTGGCGGACTTCAATTCTAGGAGTTGAAGTCTGCCAGGCTTAAAGTTACTAAGATTGGAGACTCCTGAGTTAGGACACAAATTGAGGTATATAATCAGCATGCAATTACAGATAGTCCTCGACTTACGACCACAATTGGGGCCACAGTTTCTGTTGCTAAGCAAGGCAATTGTGAAGCGAGCCACACCCCAATTTTTACACACCCCAGATGCTGCAACCATCAAAAATACACGTTGGTTGCCAAGTGCAACCAAACTTTAATCCCGTGACTATGGGGATGCCACAAGGATCTTGAGTGCAAGGACCGATCGTCACAAATCACGTTTTTGCAGTGCCGTGGCAACTTCAGACGGTCGCTAAAGGAACGGTTGTAAGTCGAGGATTATCTCTATGGGCACCCAAAGACCAACTGTTGCTGGGGATCATTGTTCTTTACATTTTACTTTTTTTTTTTCCGGAGTGCAACTAAGTAGGAAACGTACCTCTTTGGGTAAACATCTGGAGACGATACGGAATGGCCCCAGCTTGGTTAATGGCTAGGAACAGCTGGCTAAATCCAGCTGCACTTCAAAATGAGGAGCCTGGAATTTGGGGAAAGGGAGGGCCAGTCAACTTGCTTTATTCCACACACACCCCCATCCTGAACTTTTTGAAGTGCAATATCGTCTTGTCTTATTCTGGTGTGACCTTTCTGTAAACATACTCAACCCGCCCCTCCCCGCTTTCTCCAAAGCGAGCAAACACAACTTTCACCCCCATCGCTGTGCTTGTGACTCCGTGTTTTAAACAGAGAGAAACGAAACTGTACTTGTGTGGTGGATATGAAGAAGTTGTTGAAAAGTCCAGTTCCTCTTTTTTTTTTTTCCTCTTCTTTCTTGTAAATATTGCATTAATTTATGGAGTGTAAAAAAAAAAAAGAAATGAAAAGAAAAAGAGATGGAAAATTTTACACCAGCTGCTCCCGCTGGCCTCAAAAGCAATAAAATATCTATTCGCTGCATCTCTACTCACAGGTGAAAGGAAGGATAGGGATATATTGTGTGTGTGTGTGAGAGAGAGAGAGAGACACAGAGAGAGAAAAGGAGGGAGAGAGAGAGAAAGAGAGAGAGAATGAGGATGTCTCCGAGGAGTATATTTCTTTCTCCAAAGAGCAAATAAAGAAATTGACAACACTGAGCATCAGAAGTCCCATTCAGTTCAGTGGCATCTATTTTCCCAAAGATATAGGCCAGCAAGATTATTTTAAAAGACACACCCTCTCACACAGTCCCAGAATTTCAGCATCGCAGTTGTCCTTGGGTTGAGCTGCTAATTAGCAGAATAATTAAAATTTAACCTTATGAGGGTTAATGAGAGGAATCTTAATGTTACCAAAGGATGGAGAGATTCTATCTAGCTGCATTTTGTTCTTCTGGAATAGAACTCCAAGCTGCTTGGATAGTTTTATTTCCTTTTACCCAAAGAATCCTGCGAAATGTAGTTACAGTTGTTGTTGAAAAGTCAGTATTTAAGGACCAGAAGCAGAGGCTGTTTTTCTGTTTTTTCCCTCCTCCTTTTGCTTTTCTTCTCCTCCTCCTGCTTTTTTCTTCTTGCTGCTGCTGCTTTCTCCTTTCTCCTCCATCTCCTTCTCAGTCTCCTCCTCCTGCTTCTGCTTTTCTTCCTCTCCTTCTGCTGCTGCTGCTTCCTCCTCCACTACGTTTACCATTCAGTTCCCAGAAGGATTAGACATGGTTCGAATCCCTAGTACAGGTCTCCTGCGTGAGCAGAGGGTTGGACTAGATAACCTCCAAGGTCCCTTCCAACTCTGTTACAGTTAAGTACCCAGAAAGGGCCTTTTGTCTTTCCCCTCATCTTCCTGAAGAGCCGTTATGGCATGGCAAGATATTGGTTTAGAATAGAATAGAATAGAATAGAATAGAATAGAATAGAATAGAATAGGAATAGAATAGAAGATAGAATAGAATAGAATAGAATAGAAATAGAATAGAATAGAATAGAATAGAATAGAATAGAATAGAATAGAATAGAATTCTTTATTGGCCAAGTGTGATTGGACACACAAGGAATTTGTCTTAGGTGTATATTGGTTTAAAATCCATATATATTAACAGAAACTCTTGTCCATGGACTCTCCCATCCAACTATTAAGAGGCAGAACACTCTACAAGGGTTTCAGGAAAATTGTGCTTTTTTCAGGCTGGAGAACACAAAGAGTGAAGATTCGTAGCAACCCCTACCATCACAGCTCCAAGGAACCAAAAACCAAGAAATAACAAAATACATGAAAAGAACAAAGGAAATGGAAAGATAAGGTTTATTTCTTATTATATTCATATATATATATACATATATGAATATTATTCATATATATCTTTTTACAAGATTGTCTTTGGTTTACTCCGCTCACTTACATCTGCCTTTACCCCTTTTTGCAACGTACGTAGCTTTCAAATCTTTCCTGCCTTGGATCCCCTCCAGAATTCCAATACATTTTGCTAGAAGGAATTCTGGGAGTTGTAGTCCAGAAGATCTAGAGAGGATCAGACCAAGGAAGCCAATAAAAAGGATGGGATGCAGCAGGCAGGCAGGAGTCTCAACCCCTATGCTCCTAAGGAAGGACAGGAAACACTGCAATATCCCTTTAGGTCTACCCTTCCTTTTCATCCCATCATTAAACAGACGACAACATTGTTGGGCTTCGCTCTTAAAGAGGCCTTCCCCCTTTCTACCATTCCCGTAAGATGCTTTCTTATCAAAAACTGCTCCATAAAGCTGGCTTACTTTCTGCTTTACGTGTGAACTGAAATCCACAATGAAACATTTAACCGAGCATAACCATGGCGCCATTATGAAAACATTCTCAAGATCATTTACCATAAAACTCCAGGAAAAAGCAAGGAATTAAGGTGAACTTTGTGCCACTTGTCCAAGGTGGGCATGAAGATTCCCAAACTGCACATCCACATTTAGAGACGCGTTTCCCAGGTCAAACACTATTAGACAAGAGGCGGGTATAGAATTGAGAGAATTGGGTACAAATAAATATTTAAGAATCTTGAAGATGCCTGGCTCAGCTTGGGGGAAAAAGAGTAGTCGTCTTAAATTTTGGTCCCAAATGGTATTTACAATTTTAAAATTCCTGCTATTTTGGGATGGGGGTGTGTGGTAGAGCAAAATAAAACCAGAGCGAATTGTTGAAAGCTGGTTAAAATATCCCAGCATCAAAGACTCTCAGGAAGCTATGAGCTAATGTATGGTCTAGCAAATAAAATCTCTACAGATAAAGACTTACAAAATAGCCCATCCCTATAATAAGGATCTTCATTAATATAATGTATATTTATCCCCAAAACCACTGGATTATGCTCTTTGGTTAAGAATACTGAATTTGGCAAATGGAGGATCTGCTTCTCAATTCCCAAGGATTTGGAATTGGGGACTATTTTACAACACTGTGATCAAAACCGGGAAAATGGCTTTTCATGTCTGTTTTTTGAGGCATAAAATATAGAGCAGGGGTCTCCAATCTTGGCAACTTTAATCCTGGTGGACTCCAACTTCCAGAATTCCCCAGCCAGCAATTCTAGAAGTTGGAGTCCGCCAGGATTAAAGTTGCCAAGATTGGAGACCCCTGATATAGAGGGGATGTTCTGATCGCATTACATTTTCTTCTATGGCACAACTGTGGGAGAAACACAGAGCAGGGCACGGCCTGTTTACAGAAATGGAGAAGAAAAATTTATGCCCTAAAAAAAACAGAGGAACGCCAGATTCATAGCTTGTCACATGATGTATCTGTAGGGAAGAGAGTTCTAGAGACGATCTTGAGAATATTTCTTTTAACACTGCAAAAGACATCAGCTGTGAAAACAGGTCTTCACAGGCCTGACATCCTCTTCTCCAACCCTTTAAAATTTTATACTTCATAATACTGGGAGGTCAAAGAAAAAGAAAAGTCTCATGGAATATATTGGTTTACACGCTTTGTACAGCAATGGATTTTTAAAAAAAGAATAGACACAACTAAACATGATTTTGTTCTACATAAAACAGTCCTGGAGATTCCCCATCATTCCCTTGGGGTGCTTCTCAGTCCACCCCAAAAAAAAAAAAAAAAAAAAGAAGAAGAAAAGTTTTTCTTAAAATACAAGCACATTATCAAGACAGTATAAAGACACTTGGAAGCATTTGAATAAAGGCCTGTCTCTGAAGATGCTGGTGGATTGGGCCCTCATCTCTCCCCCCCTTGCTCTATATTCCCTCTGTGGGGTAAAACACCATCACTTCTCTCCTCCCTATATCCAAACTTTTTTTTTCTCGCCTCTCGGATGGATTCAGCTTTTCCCGGAAACTTCCCAGTATCCCCCAATTAACCCATCGTTTTCCATTCTGTCACCAGAAATTTTGTTTTCCCACTGTGGTTGCTTAGCAACAACTAATCCCCCCCCAATCCTGATTGAACCAAAGGCCCAACTAATGGGGAGGCAGGAAAAGTGAAACGAAGGATTGGATGCTGTGTGGATCCCAACACAGCCAATTCCTCCCTGAACTTTTCAAACTCTTCGTGTTCCCTGGGACCAACTGTATCAAACGACAACTTTACACACTTACACAACTATTGCAGAGGGATCATGGAGCAAAGAGGTTGAGAAATCCCTCCGGGATTTGAATCACTAATTGCCTCTCAACCCACGGAAAAACCCAAAGAAGCAGCACCACCTAGTTATGCACACATATCGTGCGTATGCGTGCACGCATACCTACACATCCACATAGCTATGGCACCACCTGCTGAACAAAGCGCAGGACAGCAGATGGTCAAAAGCACCGAGGTAACTGTGCATTGCATTATGGGAGGGTTCAAAAGATGTGCTGCTTGTGTGTGTGTGTGTGTGGCTCGTGATGAACGACGATGCGTGCGGCACTATTGGCAGGCAAAGGAGTAGGGGGTGCATGATCCAAGGTCGAACGGAATGAATGTGAAGTGCTGATTTCTGCAACGGGCTAAGCAGTCCGATCTGTGATTCAGGAGGCCCTTAAGATGTCCGCTGTTTGGACTCTTCAATCCGAAAAGGGATGGCTTTTCTACCCTAGTGAAAAGATGATGGAAGATGGAGGGGTGGGGGCTATGAACAGGAAAGATCTAATTGGAATGAAGCTTCAGGAATGGTTGACTTTGGAATCCTTGGCATAGAGCAGTGTTTCTCAACCTTGGTAGCTTGAAGATGGGTGGACTTCAACTCCCAGAATCCCCCAGCCAGCAGCGCTGGCTGGGGGTTTCTGGGAGTTGAAGTCCACCCATCTTCAAGCTTCCAAGGTTGAGAAACACTGGCATAGAGCCAAGGATTCAGGACTTTTTGCATTCAGGGTTCAATTATCCCCATTTGTACCCGAGACTGGCAGCATGAACCAAATTAGCCTTGTTAACCTTCCTCCCGCTGGAGAAGTTCTCAGACACTTCTAAGCAACTCAGAAAGGCACTGCCTTCGACTCCAGAGACACGCCAACTTTTCACCCAACCTTAAAACATTTCTATTCGGACCGTTACGTTCTTTAGAACTGTGGTCCACGGGTCCCTCGTTGGCAACCTGTCTTCCCTAACCTGGGAAGCCGTCGAGATAAGTTGAGAGGACCATTTCTTGAAGTCCCCCAACAAAACATGGCTTGTGGCTGGTCATTCAATGTAGACCCAACATTTCCCCAAGGTACGGAAGGCCGGGCATTAGCAGTTCAGGATTGTACTCCTGAGATGTATTATAAAATACCAACCTGGTTTTTTTTTACCTATCTTACTTCATTTTTGTATGAATTTCACCCTTCTGGTGGCGATGGTTGAGTTGGGTTTGGGTTGGCACGCTGGAGAGAAAGCCCGACAGGACAGGAAGAACTGGCAGGAAACTTGGACCTTGTTAAATGAGTTCAGATAAGACCAAGATTGGTAGAAAAAATAGGAATGTCTGCAGGGTTTACCTATGTGTATCTATGCGAGGATAAAATATTAACCTAAGAAGATAAACAGGAGAACTTTTAGAAGTGAGTTTGATTCTCCTTCCTATGGAAGCTTGGCTGCAATTGCATTTTCTAACAACAACAGTGATGTCTCTGTGTGTGGAAGATAATACACTAATGGGTGAATTACACCCCTGGGAGCAGAGGATGAACTTTTGAGGGAAGGCACAATTAGCTATTAGCTCACGTCCTACTTACACACCCCTCTTTGAGGTATCTTGAGAGCCTCTTAGGAAAACAGGCCATCGAATTATGGGCTCGGGTCTCAGGCACCTGAGTTCTTGGTTACCCACCACCTCCTTTGGCTGACAGAGAAGATCCCAGTTTTGTAAATATGTCACGAGGACTGTAAACTATTCATTCTCCTGGCTTAAAAAGGGAAGGTGCCCCATCTCAAAGCATCTGTCTTTCTGACCTTAATGTAAGCTTTCCTCTCCACACACCTGAAAGGTTTGCAGGATTTTTTTTTTTTCTAAATAAGGCGCTTCGGCCTCTCAATAAGGGGTGTCCAACCTTGGCAACTTGAAGATTGTGTGGACTTCAATTCCCAGAATTCTGGGAGTTGAAGTCCCCGGGGTCTTAAAAGTCATCAAAATTGGATACCCCTGCTCTAAATATTTCCCCCTTATAATGTGATCTAGGCAGAAAAGTCTATGTACAAAATCCACAGCATTGCTCCCTATACAAATCAAGCAGCAGCTTAGATCCCCGTAGGGTTGCTTCGTGCTGGGAGAGAACCGCCTGGCAGGATAAATGGGTCAGCCCACACAGTCTCTTCCTTCGATTTTCCGACAGGCCTGGAAAAAAAAGAAGATCCACTCAGATACGAAAGCCATTATCCCCTAGAACGATAAAGGGATCCGGTCGTTAGCATAGAAAAAGAGAAAGCTGGAGGGACATTTCTGTAAAAGTCCACCCTCCAAATTATGACCGTCGCACCCCCCCACTCCCGCAGACACTTGGCAACTTGGCTCGCATTTACGGCGGCTCCTGGGCTCACGTGATTGCAATTTGGGGCCTCCCCACCTGGGTTTCCGACAAGCAAAGTGAAAGGGGGATGGGCAGATGGGCGAAGCTGGATTCGCTTAACAACGAATTCACTCTACAATCACACGCTTCGCTTAACCACGGAAAGAACCCTCTAATTGACTGCAGTAAAAATGGTCATAAAATCAGGTCCGGTCAATTAATCCCTGCTTAATATGAATGCCTCGCTTAGTGGCTGAACCTCTGGTTCCAGTTGTGGTCGTAACCCGAGGACACAAAAAGCAGGGATTCTGAGAGTTTTCACAGAGAAGGTCTTAGTTCCTCTGGACTAAAACTGGGGGCATACTTTATTTTTCCCCTGCAAAAGTCCAAATAAACAGACTGCCAGTCATGTCCAATCAGCCTCATCTATCATCCCTGATAGTTGTGAGTCCACAGGATGGGAGGGAAATGGGATCAAAGGCCTAGAGCCACTGGCTGGCATTTCAACCCTTGCCTGCTATTGTCCATTACCTACCTTGTTTGGCCAAATCTCATGTGGAACCAGATTGTTGAATTGATGTAAACTTCCCCATCAGTTGCTGAAGCCTCCAGTATTCTGTTTCTATATCCTAGTAAAGACAGACAGACAGAGTCACACTTAGGGAAATTTGCAAGGAATATGGCCTCTTATCTGTCGGGTGCAAAGAATTAGGATCATACATTAAGTTGCTGTTCAAAGCTTTAATGCCTATGCATAAGAATCTAGTCAATTGAAGTTCAGTATTAAGTTGATAGATAAATTGATTGGCCGGATAAGAGTCAAGAGAATTCAAGAAGGGCTGGACTTGGGACTATTTGTGGCAACGTAAGGATTCTAGGCTGACGACTCACTTCACTCTGCCCCCAGCCCTGCCTGCTCTTCTCCTACATTATCCATCTCAGTATGTATGAAGTTTCAGTCTTCGGAATCATTGTCTTGCTTTTCCTTTTCATCAAAAAGCTTCAAAATTCAGAGAGAACCATGCATGAGGGACTGCAAGAAGAAAACCGTCACTCCCACCCCCTCTAGGTCTTCCTTAAGTAAAATCCCCACACCTCCTTCCATCTTCTCCTGTCTCCACCAAGAACCTCCCAAATATTTTAATGTCTGGGAAAGCCAAATCCCTGAAGGACAATGTTCTACCATCCATCTTGGACAGGGGGATGACTCAGGAAAAAGGATGGGGTGGAATGAAAGGATGTTCCATGCTCACCTTCAGACCCTGAATTGCATCTTCTAGAAGCTTTAAGTGATGCTTCACCCCGTCAGATTGCTGGAGGGACAGAACGATGGAGAAATGGGGACTTTCCTTATCCAGATGTTCAGAACTCCACTCTGGATCTGGAGGGCCATTCAAAGAACCTACTGTAAAGATAAATGAGCATAATGGTTGATATTTACTTAATATCTATCTTTTTTAAAACTTCAGGTATAAATATAGCTAGTGTCAGAGCATGCACAGGTCTATCTGTGTATCAGTCCAGGAGCAAGTACAGCCAACAGTGGTTTTTATCAAATAGTGGTTTTTAATCTACAATAGGAATATAGGGATACTATACATACATGTGCTACAAGCAGTATCTAAACAAACAGCAATTACAGCAGGGAAGAAACTCAACGAACCAAAGAACACGCCAGCAGGGCCTCCTCTTATTACAAAGGCTCTTAAAGGGATAACAGCCAAAGACTCTGCTGACTCATTCCCCTCATTGCATCAGCTGGTCAGCTCTTAAATTATCACCTTGACAGCTAGACCTCTTGCCACTTAACAACGGTGGCAAGAAAAGTCACAAAATGGGCCAAAACTGACTTAACTGTTTTGATTAGGATCAAAACAGTGGAAACATTGGGCTTAACTGTGGTCATAAGTCAAGGACAACTTGTGTGCCATGATGCTCACCTGGAAGCCTCCTGCTGTTGTCTCCTTCAATCCTGAAAGTCCCATTCCATTCTTCTTCTCCCTCCTGGGGATCTCCATTCTCTGGAGAAACATCTGTAGGTTCTGCAGGAAAGAGGGCCTCTCCTTCGTCTGGTATCTGAAGTAGCCTCTTCAGGGCCAAAACTAGAAGGAGACAAGATTGTCCCATTCACATCCTCTGTGGGCAACAGACTTGCTTAACAGAGAAGAAGGGAAAAGATGTTTATCAAGTACCTCGGTCCTGTGCAGCAGAGGCTAGAGTGGCCTGGCCAGGTTGAGGTTGAGATCTGCAGAACGTCTGTAGGTCAGCCATGAAGGTCTCCACTGCCTTGTCCATCTTTGCTCCACCAACAGGGTTCCGTTCCTCAAACTCTGCACCTTCCAGCATTCCATCTTTTTCTTGTTCTGAGTTGGGATAGCAAAAACAAAACACAATCAGATCCCCACTGTTGTCTCCCCCCAAACTCAGAGGGCAGTAAAAGCCGCATAAACATGTCTACAATCTGTCTCCAAAATATTGAGAGATTTGGCTCTAAAATGAACCTCCAGATCAAACTGAAAACTCGAATTATTAAACTGGAAACAATCTGGATGACTCAAGACACTCCTGGGCCTCCTCAAAAATACCTTTTCTGGAATCGATTGACAAATCTAGTTCAGATCTACCTGCCCTAATCTGAAAGTGTAAACCAGGGGTGGCCAACCTTGGTTACTTTTAAGACTTGAAGACTTCAAACTCCTAGAATTCCCCAGCCAGCTTGGCTGGCTGAGGAATTCTGGGAGTTGAAGTCCACCAAGTCTTAAAAGTGGCCAAAGTTGGCCACCCCTGGTGTTAAAACATACCACACTGATTTTTCTGTAATGACAATCCCAACAGAGTTATTTTCATTGACGAGGTAAGAATGCAAGTTATCTTTTCCCTCCTTTTTCCCTCCTCCAATCTTCCTCCTTACCCTCTGACTGCAGTGCCTCCTTAAGGGGGCTGCCATTTTCTGCTCCACCCAGCAGAGTCTCTGGATAGCTGCCAAGAAAAAAAATGGGAGATGTCAGTCTTGATCACATACCGTCAGGGTTCTGACCCTGCAAGGGATCATGGGGTTGTTAAAAGAAGTTGATGATGATTATAGTCTCCATTATCCTTTCCCCCCCCCCTCTCCTCCCTACAAAATACTTACTAGCTGGGACTATGTGGTGAGTTTCGGTTTGTTACCGAAAGCCGAGGTTTGGCATTGGAAGTGGGCAGCTTCAGTGAACCAGCTGTTTCGCTAATTATGTTGCACCAGCTAGGATGGAAAAGAAGAGAAGAAATTAGGGGAACCATCTCCTCCAACCCAATGTCCACCAGAGATTTGACAACCGTGAATTCCCCCACCCCACCGAACTTCCCAGCAAACACAAAGCTTTTCTGGTTGTAATAAGATTTGGCACAAGCTCAGCATCATCTTTCTGTCACAACTTTGCGTGAACACAGCTCAACTAAGTGGTGCTTCAAATAAAGACAGAAGACGTATCTCAATTCTCATTCCAACTGGGAGTGGGGGGGGGGAGAGCCGCTCCTTGTTCCAAACTAATCTCTCACCCTAGTCAGTATAGGTAGTCCTTGATTTACGACCACAATTTCTGTGGCTACAGACAAGACATCTGTTAAGTGAACTTTGCCCTGTTTTACAACCTTTCTGGTCTTGGCTGTTAAGTGAATCGTTGCAGTGGTTTAAGTTAGTAACACAGTTGTTAAGCGAATCTGGCTTCCCCCATTTGACTTTGTTAGAAGGTTACTAAAGGGGATTGCGTGACTTCAGGACACTGCGACCGTCATAAATATGAAATAAGTAGAGGAGAAAGAGGGAAGTAGAGAGAAGGATAGAGGAAAGGGAAGAGGAGAGGAAGGAAAAGAGAAAGGAGAGAAGGTTAGGAAGGGAGGAAGAAGAAGAGAGGAGTGGGGGAAGGAAAGGGAAGGGGAAGGAGAGGAGGAAGAGGAAAGTTGAAAAGGATAGAAGTAGAAAGGGAAAGAAAAAAGAAAAGAAAGAAAAGGGTTGCTGTGGTTGTAGAAGAGATGGAAGGGTAGAAGAGCAGTCCAGAGAATATCATATTCCAATTACTTAAGACAGAAAAATGAATTAATATGGAATTCAGAGATAATATGTACGATTGATACTGGTTAAGAGTTTATGTATGTATGTTTATGAGAAATAAAAATAAAAACTTAAAAAAAAAGATTAAAATAAATAAATAAATAAACGGTCGTTAAGTGTGAAAAGCGGTCATAAGTCACTGTGCTGTTGTAACTTCGAACGGTCACTAAATGAACTGTAGTTAAGTTGAGGACTACCTATAAACTGGTTGCTTGATGGGCAAGCAAGTCCCTCTTCCCACCCAGATTTCTTACTTCTTTCTCTCCGACACTGTCTGAGCCACCAGTTCGTAGATCTGAGCTCCGTTCTCCCAGCTGAAGATCACGTAGAAAGCTTTGATGTCTACAAGAAAGAGGAGACAAGTCAGTGGTGAAATCTAAAATTTGTTACTACCGGTTCTGTGGGTGTGGCTTGGTGAGGGGGTAATGTGACTGGGTGGGCATGGCCATTTTTTTTTTTCTTTTAAAACCATTTTTTCTTCAACCTCTTCGGCGAAGAGGTTGTAAAAAAATGCTTTCAAAAGGCTCTGACGATCCCAGCGGAGTTGCCTGATCGGCAGAGGCTTTTTTAAAAAGCCTCTGCCGATCAGGCAACTCCGCTGGGATCGTCAGAGGCATTTAAAAGAAAAAAAAGGGGTTTTTTTCTTTTAAAAGCCTTTGACGATCCCAGCTGAGCCGCGCGATCATCAGAGGCTTTTTTTTTTTACTTTTAAAAAGCATTTTTTGGCCGAAGAGGTTGTAGAAAAAATGTTTTAAAATTAAAAAAAAAAAAGCCTCTGATGTTTGTGCGGCTCAGCTGGGCATGGGGGGGGGGTAGGGATTTTTGCTACCGGTTCTCCAAACCACGCCTCCATCGCTACCGGATCGGGCGATCCGGTCCGAACCAGGAGCATTTCACCCCTGAGACAAGTAAATTCTCCTTGGAGTCCGCTCTCAAAGAAAACAACCTTTATTTCAAGGTTGGACCAATTCCAACCCGGAATGAGAATTTGGGCAGAGGTCCAGACCAACAAATAGGACCCAAGGCCAAAATCCTCTGGATCCGCTTCCAGTTCCCATGACCAACTTCCTGCACCCACCTGTGGCCACTTCGCGGGTCATGGCAGAATTGAGCTTGATGATGGGGGAGAGCATTTGTTTCCCGTCGGGGGTTGGGGTGATGGTGCGGCTGTGACATTTGAGCACCAGGCGCTCTTCCTGCTTCTGGAGAAGAACCAAGATATCATCCAGCAGGAGGACGTGAACATCTGGAAGGGATCAAGGAGAACGTGAGGCATGAGAAGTATGAAACAAAAGCTTCTGGGAGGAGCAATAGCAATTAGACTTATATACCACTTCACTTAATGTGCATCTTGATTTTTTTTAAAAAAATCTCCTCTATGGTGTCAGGCACAAACAACCAGAGCAACACATGCAGAGTTCCAACCAGGGGTCTAATTCAGACGGTTCTATCCGGTTCGTTTGTGTGAACCGGTAATGGCGGCTGCGGGAGGCTCTGCCCATCCACCCGGATGTCATCACATCTCGTTTTTGATGCTCCCATTTGCGAACCGGTAGCGAAGGTCAGTGAATACCACCCCCTGGTTCCAACTATCTACTTTATTGTTTCCTGCCTATAGTACAGGAATCTCTCCAGCCGGCAGCTTTTTTGTATGAGACTAGATAAGGCTCAGAGGCATTCGGGAAGGGCCAGACTTTGTTGCCTTGTGAGTACATAGCAAGTCCAGGCTAATTCCCTTCTTGAGGCCTCCTCCCAAGTGAAAATGTCACTCTCCAACATTGGACACCCAGATCCGATACCAAAACCCCTAAATTCTAGTTTGATAGTTACTTCCTACCTCTCTCCCCATGCTCTTATTCCTGGAGCTCCAGATGGTCCCACTCACCTACTGATTTGTCCTTGGTAACACGCCACGTCAGGGGTCCCTCGTACACAAGGTTTCGCTTGGTGATATCTGTGTTCTGTGGAAAAGAGCTGGTTAGATGCTGCGCTTTAGCATTTGTTTTCCCTTTCTGACAAATACCTCAAACCAAGGAGTCACCACCAGGAGTCTGATGTTCGCATTTTGAAAAAACACCTCCCTTTCCTCCTGAGGAGTCTTACATCGCCAATCACAGCATGGCAGGCCAAAATTCAACAGGGACAGACCGAGCATAAAAGTAAAGGTTCCCCTCGCCCATATGTGCTAGTCGTTCCCGACTCTAGGGGGCGGTGCTCATCTCCATTTCAAAGCCAAAGAGCCAGCGCTGTCCGAAGACATCTCCGTGGTCATGTGGCCAGCATGACTCAATGGCGAAGGCGCACGGAACGCTGTTACCTTCCCACCAAAGATGGTCCCTATTTTTCTACTTGCATTTTTTACGTGCTTTCAAATTGCTAGGTTGGCAGAAGCTGGGACAAGTCACGGGAGCTCACACCATTATGCGGCACTAGGGATTCGACCCGCTGGACTGCCGACCTTTCAATCGACAAGCTCAGTGTCTTAGCCACCGAGCTACTCCGTCCCTAGACCGAGCATGGCAAGTGTGTCATGTCAAAGCTGTTGAACTGTTGCCTACCTTGGAAGTCCCGTCCTGTTTGTGTCAGAGGCACCGTTTTAACTAAGTTTTGGGTTGAAAGGATTAGCCAATGACATCACTGTTGCCCAGGGGATGCCTGTGGAGGCTCCTTTCATGTTCCCATCAATGAGCGAATGATGGGAACTCACCCCGCCACGCAGCAGCATTCGGGTCTCGAACGCAGGTTTGCTTAACTCCAACCCAACGTCCTAACTTGCGAGCCATCAGACTCCTTACCATGGAGGTAATGATGCAGAAAAGACCATCACAGAAAATTGCTCTGGCTAAGTTACAGGTAGTTCTCGTCTTATGACCAGTTGCTCACCGACCATTCAAAAATATAACAGATCCCCAGAAGCGATTTATGACCCAATTCAGAAGTCACAATGTCCGGGCCTCCCTCCTACAGTTCATGTGACCTGCATTTTGGGCACTCAGCAACAGCCCTGCATTAATGGTCATTTGTAGCACCCCAGGAACACATGACTGCAATTTACTCCCCCCCCCCAACCTGGAAATCAGGTGCTTATTTCTGGCTTCCAGGAAAAAAAAATTACCATAGCAAACAATGCGTTCTCTTAATTCCCTCTTTAAAAAAAGGTCATAAAAATCGAGGTCCAGTCTCATGATGACCTTGCTTTATGACTGTAATCGCTAGGCTCAATTATGGCATAAGTCGAGGACTGCCTGTATAGAGATTGAAGGACAATTCATTTGCTGTTATTGCTTCCTATGTCCCCACTGCCCAACGGGTTGAATATTTTGTTGGGACTCACCCGAAATTCACTCAGTAGCGGATCAGTGCTTTGTTTAAGATTGGAGAGATCCAAACGTCGCTGATAGTCTTTGAGTTTCTGAAAAAAACATTATGATGATGTCCAGTTTTTTTAAACCAACATTGAAGTGGTGAAGGACGAAGGAAGGACTTTTTCGAAGGAGAAATGATCGCTCGAGGGAGGATCCTTACCAGTAAATTCTCCATATCGCGCACTTCTTGGTTGACGTGGTTGAGGATCTGCCGACAACATTCGGCAGCCTTTTCCACCTTCTGACGTTCCTCAGCTTCCTCTGTGCCAGGGAACAAGAAGAAAAAAAACACGAAAGTTTTGTGAAGATGTGTTCCTTAACACGGATCTTTCCGCTTGAAATTTAGATAGGTCTTATTTTCCATGAAATTGGAAAAGATGTCGGGAAAGATAGAAGGGGGCGGCAGAGGATGAGATGGTTAAGATAGCGTTATCAATGGGTACAAGCAATGGATGGAAACGAATCAAGGAGAGAAGCAACGTAGAACTAAGGAGGAATTTCCTGACACTTAGAACAATTAACCAAAAGCGAAGGAGAGGAAGAAGACGCGTCCTATTTCACTGAGATCAACGCTCCACTTCCAGGAGAACCTCATCCTTCTAAAGACATCTTAGTAGTGGAAGGATGACCAGCCCAACCGTGGTACAAAAGACGGGAAGACCAAATGAAACGGGAGCAGAACTGTTTGCAAGGGGGAGTCAAAAATAAAGTCAAGATCATAACTCAACCATCTCAACTAACAACTCAACCAACATATGAAGAACGGTTGCTGGAATTGGGCATGTCTACTTTGATGGACTAGGGAGTGACATGATAGCAGTGTTCAAATATCTCAGGGGCTGCCACAAAGAAGAGGAATCTAGCTATTCTCCAAAGCACCTGAGGGCAGGACAAGAAGCAATGGGGGGAAACTAATCAAGAGAGAAGCAACTTAGAACTAAGGAGAAATTTCCTGACAGTTGGAACAATTAATCAGTGGAACAACTTGCCTCCAGAAGTTGTGAATGGTCCAACACTGGAGGTTTTTAAGAAGATGTTGGATAACCATTTGTCTGAAGTGGTGTAGGGTTTCCTGCCTGGGCAGGGGGTTGGACTAGAAGACCTCCAAGCTCCCTTCCAACTCTGTTATTCTATTCTATTACTGACACAATAAATATGAGTTTGGACAAACTCTGGGAGACGGTGGAGGATGGGGGGGAGGGTCTGGTGTACTGCGGTCTCCTCCCTGCTCACCAGTGCATTTGGCAATAGAGTGGAGCAACAGCGGATACTTGGTTAGCCTTTGCATCTCAATAGGAATGATGTCCTTCAGTTGTAAGCGCCGGCATCGAGGTTTGCTTTCTGCTTCCTGTGGGAAAAAAAAAGAAGGGAAACCATTCACCAACCAGTGAAAAGGTGCCTGGGAAAGGTATTATGGAAAGTCCCTGGGTGGGATTGCCTTTCAGATGTGTGTAGCTGGTTTCTCCTGTGAAGAAGATGCTCTCAAAACCATCCATCCAACCTGTCTATGCAACCCCTCCACCATCAATCCATCATCTATCTATCTATCTATCTATCTATCTATCTATCTATCTATCTATCTATCTATCTATCTACCATCCATCCATCTCTATCTATCTCTCTTTGTACCTACTTACCTACCATCCCATCATCTGTCTGTCTGTCTGTCTGTCTGTCTGTCTGTCTGTCTGTCTATCTATCATCTATCTCTACCTACCATCCATCCATCCATCCATCGTCTATACCTACCTATGTACCATCTATTTACCTACCATCCATCCATCCATCTACCTACCTTCTACCTACCATCTATCATCTATCTATCTATCTATCTATCTATCTATCTATCTATCTATCTATCTATCTATCTATCTATCTATCTATCATCTCTCTTCTCTATCTATCTAATCCTACCATCCATCCATCCATCTACCTACCTACCTACCTATCTAATTATCATCTATCCATCCATCCATCCATCCATCCATCCATCCATCCATCCATCCATCCATCCAATCTATCTACTCACCCTCCCTATCCATTATCTATTTATCCATCATCTACCTATCCAATGCATCCATCCATCGATCCTTCCATCCATCCATCCATCCATCCATCATCTACCTACCTACCTACTTATCACATCCTTCCATCCGTCCACCCACCCACCGGTCTATCCTAGTCCTGTCCCAGGAATGGCAGCCTCCTCTCACTCCCAGGACTTACCTGGATGAACTGGTTGAAACGAGCTTCTTTCTTCTGCTTCGCCTTCAGCTGTTCTAATGCAAAAGATTGGCGGCTACAGAATCGGGAGGAGATCTTCTGAAACCAGTTTCCTTCAGACCCATCGAACTAGGGAAAAGTCAGCAAGAAGATCACCTTATGGAAATACCTTCCTTGCCTATATTGTTCCCAGCCCCAGGGTTTAAATCCCAAGCCTTCCCCTCCCACACTGTCCGGGGTCAGTGGACATTCATCTGATCTTTAGCTGGTTTTGAGAGTCCAAGATGGCGCTCAATGATGGTGTCTGGCAGGAGCATCATTAGAACCTGCTTTACCAGTTTCACCCCTTCCAGCTGCTTCCACACAACATGCTAAATAAAACCCAGATTAAACCCTTGCTCTTACTCTAGCCAGCAGAGTGCTTCCAATTTCGGAGACGATCAAATTATTCTCCTCCCTCAGCCTCTTCATGTTTTCCAGAAACACTTCTGAGAAAAGATGAGACAGAGACAAAGCATGACTCAAGAAAAGCAAAAAAGGTGAAAGATGGAAAATAGAAAAGAAACGTCTTTGAATGTTACGGTGACATGGGGGGTGGGGGGTGGAAAGGTTAAAATAGAGATAGAAATAATAATAGCATATATATATAGTATATATTAATATAACAAGATGTATGTAATAACAAGAGGGAGGTTTAGAAATTGAAGGGCGGTAGTATTAAAAAGTAAAAGTTCCCCTCGCACATATGTGCTAGTCATTCCCGACTCTAGGGGGCGGTGCATCATCTCCATTTCTAAGGCGAAGAGCCAGCGCTGTCCGAAAACGTCTCCGTGGTCATGTGGCCAGCATGACTCAACGCCAAAGGCGCATGGAACGCTGTTCCCTTCCCACCAAAGCTGGTCCCTATCTTTTTACTTGCATTTTTTACGTGCTTTCAAACTGCTAGGTTGGCAGAAGCTGGGACAAGTAACGGGAGCTCACCCCGTTAGGCAGCACTAGGGATTCGAACCGCTGAACTGCTCTGCTGACCTTTCGATCAACAAGCTCAGCGTCTTAGCCACTGAGCCACCGCATCCCTTTATTATTATGTCTGTTTGTATCAAAACGCATGATACCCAGGTATCACACTATTCACCCATTGATATGTATAAACCTAAAATAAGAAACGTGATGCAAAAAAGAAAGAAAGAACCCCACCCACCACAGCAATTCCCATTATTCCTGCTAAATAAATCTAGCATGGAAGTTGCTGTGCTTTCACCCAGCCCCATTTGCTCCCCCCCACCCCCCCCAATGCTCTCACTGTGTTCGTCGATCAAGTCCTCCAGACTGGGGAAAATGTTCACCAGTTCGCTCTCGGTGAAGAATCCCTCGGTCAACAACGGTTGGTAGAACACTTCGAGCAACACCCGGAGCATCCGCAGATGGGCGTGCTCTGTGATAAACAGCTCTGTAGGAGGAAAGGCGAAAGAAAAAGTCCAGGAAGATCAGCCTTTAGGAAATCCAGGCAATTTTTGACTGTAGTGATGTATGCACAGAGTTAGAACTGAAGAAGCTTCTTAGATGCGAAGCAAAATGTTTTCAAAAAAAAAAAAACCAAGAAAGTTCAGTTGCCTTTTGGGGAAAATAAAAGCGCCTTTGGGACAACCGTGACCAGGTGGATTGAGAATATCTATAGACATTGGACGAAATTAAGAAACTCTGAGTTCTAGGTCCGCGATGGCGAACCTATGGCACGCGTGCTACAGGTGGCACGCGGAGCCATATCTGTGGGCACGTGAGTGTTGCCCTAGCTCAGCTCCAGCATACATGCATACGCCAGCGAGCTGATTTTCGGGCCTTTCGGGCCCACTGGAAATCGGGAAATGGGCCGTTTCCGGTCTCCAGGAGGGTGGGGAAAGGCCATTTCACCCTCCCCAGGCTCCTAGAAAGCCTCTGGAGCCTGGGGAGGGCAAAAAACAGGCCTACCAGGCCCACCGAGCCATCGCATGCCAAAAGCGGGGGAGTACGGGGGTGTGTGGTCATGTGTGCATGCATGGGGGTGGGGCACATTGAATTATGTGTGTGGCCACGCGTGCGCTTGACCCCCCCCACGCTCCCCCACACTTTTGGCATGCGACCGCAAAAAGGTTAGCCATCACTGTTCTAGGTGCTACAAACAGATGTTCTAGATGCTACAATAAAACTCATCCTGACCTCCATGAGTTTCTGAGTCTGAGTCTACCTGGTAGGGCTGACGGGGAAATCCCCTCACGTACCGTTGATCACTTCTTGCCGCTTCACTTCACTTTTCTTCAGCCTGAGGAGGGTGTCGTGGGGGACGAGCTCCCGCCAGTTTGGCGGGTCCAGTTCCAGTTCCGAAACACGCGGCTCAAACTCCTCAGACTGGGGAAGCAGAAAGGACGGCGGGGGCTCCCCTCCCCCAGCCCCTCCAGGCTCCAAACTGTAAAGAGTCAAAGCGAGAGACAAAAGATAAAAGTGAGGACAGTCCTATTTTTAATTATCCATCTCTCCCTCCATCCTTCAACACTTACACTTACACCCCAACCTGACTGATTCTGGTGATCATAATTGCTCTGCTCCAGGTCCCACTTCGGTAGCAACATCTAGTCAACTATCGTTGATCTAGAACAGTGTTTCTCAAGCTTGGTAGCTTGAAGATGGGTGGACTTCAACTCCCAGAATCCCCCAGCCAGCAGCGCTGGCTGGGGGATTCTGGGAGTTGAAGTCTACCCATCTTCAAGCTTCCAAGGTTGAGAAACACTGATCTAGAAAAAGGGGAGCTGAGTTGTAACTGGATACGAGACCAATAGGAAACCCCAAGATTGTACAAGCTAGGCTAGGATAGAAGAATCCCAGAGAAAAGACAACGTCAAACCACCTCCAAACTCTGGCCAAGAAACACCATACAAATAATCCTCAACTTGTGTCCATTGTTTAACAATGGTTCCAGTTTCAACAGCCTCAGAAAAAGCGACTTACAGCTGCATTCAGACTTATAACTGCTGCACCACTCTAGCGATTATGTGATCGCAACTTGGGTGTTTGGCTCACATTTTTAACCCATTTATTTATTTATTTATTTATTTATTAAATTTATATTACTGCAGGTTCGAATCTTACCAGGCTCAAGGTTGACTCAGCCTTCCATCCTTTCTAAGGTAGGTTAAATGAGGACCCAGTTTGTGGGGGCAATAAGCTCACTTTGTATAAATATACAAAAGTATGAAGGCTGTTGCTTAATGCATTGTAAGCCCCCCTGAGTCTCCGGAGAAGGGCGGCATATAAATCAAATTTAAAAAAAAGAAAAAATTCATCATAGGAGCATTTTCTCCCTAGGATTTTATAATAGGGGCAAATTCAAGATAATTTGTGAGATGCTGGTTTTTTGTTTTCTTAAGAGTTTAGGGTAGATTTCCACCAATTTGTCAATGAACAGCTCCCAATTCAACCGAAGCCTTTCTCCCAGTCGTAGCTGCCAGAAGGAAAAAGTAGTAGCCGAAATTTATTTTAAATCTCAGAGGCTATACTTTTAGCATTTACTGAAAATTATATTTACACATAAACCAGGTGCTGTTTACTTGAAAGAGTAACGTGGTTGATTCAGGCAGCTGTGCTGGACTGAATTTTATTCCTCCTGGGCAGAAGACACCGATGCCCAGAGTGGTTCTTTAAAAGGCTGTATCTTTCCTAGTCTCGTGTTTTAGAGTGGGGGTATCCAACCTTGGCAACTTTCTGGACTTCAACTCCCAGAATTCCCCTTGCTGGGGAATTCTGGGACTTGAAGTCCACAAGTCTTAAAGTTGCCAAAATTAGACACCCTTTTTTTCCCCCCCGAGAAAGAAATTTGAAAGAGAGGCATCTTCTCTTTTATTTATTTATTAAATTTATTTGTCACCCATCTCTCTGCCAATTCTTTTAGCAACAAGGATAATGGAACAATTGTTTAATTTCTTTTGCAGACAAAGATTCTCCCATCATTCCCGGATCCCTGGGAATGTATCTATTGTTTACGCTACTCAAGATCTCCAGGGGGAAGATCTTGATTGATGATCCTTTGTGATGTAGGGTCTTGGTCCCTGCTTGGACCAGCAGGGGGTTGGACCAGAAGACCCCAAAGGTCCCTTCCATCTCTGTAATTCTTTGACAACGTTCCCATCTCTGCCCGTGTTGGGGCAGCTGAGATGGCGGCCTCTTCACCTACTTGCGACTTCCCTGCTTCTGCCGAGCCTGTTCTAGAGATGGTTTTTCTTCCAGCTCGTTGGCCCGGGCCGCGGCTTCGATGTCCACATCGCTCCGCGAACGCGGCTGTTTGCCTTTGGCTGAGCCTCGCTGAGAACGCTTCCGCTCGTAAACCCGCAGGCTCTCCGAGCGGCCCAACTTCCCTGTCAGCCTGGCAAGGGTGGGGGATAGGCACAGCCGGGCCACAGACAAAAATAAAAATAAAAATAACCAAAAAAACAAAACAAAAAAACAAAAAAACAAAACACCACAATGCGAGAGACCAAGGGATGTTGGGTTTGACAAGCCGACGGGGACACGAGGGGAGATGAAATGAATCACAAGAGGTTGGAAGAGTCACAGACGAATTGTGAGCGACACACGGAAAGGAGTCACAAGACATTTGGCGCCAAGAAGGTGGCAGGGATCACAACCGGAGAACACGCAATATATAGGAAGGGAAGAGGAAGGACAAATTTGGCACATGCAGCGGTGGAAAGAGAAAGGAAGAGAGAGAAATGTGAGACCCCCAAGAACAAACTGATATATCCATGCACCAGAAGAAGGGAGGGTGGAACTGCGAGGCAGACACACACTCCTGGCAGGCTGGATCCAACGCGCGGTTGGTCCCAACTGTAGCTACAACCCCCCAAAAATGTTTTGCTTCTTAGGGGGTGGGGGTTTGACAACACCCCCTGGGCCACCTCCTGCCCCTTGTCAACGCTCAGAATAAGGTCTGCCACAAAGAAGGAGCTGCAGGTGAAGAAAAGGAGCGCCCGGGCCAGATAGGACCTGGAGTTTAAAGGGCATCTCTTCTCCAGCCATCAATTTGGGAAGGCAGACATGTCTTCCCAAGGCAGCTCTGGTGAACAGGAGGTCATACTTAACTCAGTCTTGTGTGTCTTCCCCTGAGGAAGAAATTCATGCAAAGGGTGAGTAGGGGGGTGAGGAAGCCACCAACCTTTTTCGCCTTCTAGAAGGGAAGAACAGAATATAGAAGGGTGATTGTGTTAATACCGAAATGAGAGGAAAAGAAGAAAAGGAGGATTGGGCAAGGGGTGAGTTGGGTGGGTGGGCAAACCTCATATTAAGTCTCAGGAAGGGATTAAATGCTGCTTAAATGTGAGTTGGACACCAAGGAACCGGGATCGAGGAAGTGGAAAAACCAGGCTCCACATAGGTAGGGAGGTAGCCAAAGTGACAACAGGAATTGTGTATTTATTTTTATTTTAGTTTATCTATTTAAATATATCCCACCTTTATTTTATTTTATTGTTATAAACAACACAAAGTGGCGAACATATCTAATATGCCTTCCTCCTCCTATTTTCTCCCCAACAACAACAACAACCTATGAGGTGTTTTGGGCCGAGAGAGAGGGACTGACCTTAAGTCACCCAGTTGGTTTTATGGCTAAGGCAGGACTAGAAATTCCTCTCTCTTAGTGATTGGCCCAAAATTACCCAGCTCATTTTCATGGTTAAAATGGGACTAGAACTCACAGTCTCCTGGTGATTGGCCCAAAGTCACCTAGCTGGCTTTCATGGCTAAAGCAGGACTAGAATTCACAGTCTCCTGGTTTCTAGCCGGATGCCTTTATCACTAGACTGAATGGCTGTTACTCTCCAGGGGCACATTGACATAATCTTTAGATTCCTGGCCAGCCTTACAATCTAGGTTTGTCCAGATATGAGTCCCAATGTTTGTGGGACATGCTCCTGGCTAATTGCCTGAAGAAAAGCTGGCCAGATTTGCCAAACAAGCTCTGTCCACCTGTATGTGTTCATAAGGATCCCAACTCACCCTTTGCAAGGCCATCAGCCTGCTCTCACCTTTCATTTTCCGTGCTTTCATCCAGCGAGAGCTGCTCCCCAGCCAGGGCTTGCTCAGCAACCGGCGAATCTCCTGAATCAGTTCCTAGAGCTGGACTGTCCAACCCTAAGGAAAATAGAAGAAGGGGTGTGTGAAGGACGAGGGAAGGAGAAATGGCTGCCAAACCGCTCCTTTCATTATCTGAAAGAGGTCTTCCTGTAGTGGAGTGCGGTCTGGATTCCCAGGAGGGTGGGGCTTCGTTCCAGAGGACCAAGAGACAGTGAAGTTTAGATAGTTCGGTTGAGAGAAAGAAGGTCGAAGTAGCTCCTCCCTAGAAGTTCTCAGAACGTATCTTTAATGTTGGAGATGGGCGTCTTAGTTTGGCAAGATTAATCTTCTGGCTCCAAAAACCAAGGAAGACACACTGAAGCTCTTCTGATCAGTTTCCTTTATTGTTCTTTAGCTCCGGACAGAAATTTTGCCCAACTAAAGCAAACTACTTGCAACATTAAAGAGATAACTCGGAGAACTTCCTACGGAGGAGCCGTCTTGATTCTCTTCTTCCCAACCAAACTATATAAACCGGGGGTGTCCAATCTTGGTAACTTTTGAGACCTATGGACTTCAATTCCCAGAATTCTCCCGCCAGCATGGTAGGGATCTTAGAGGTCTTCTAGTCCAACCTCTGGCTCAAAAGCAGGAAACCCTATACCCATGATGGCGAACCTATGGCACGCATGCCAAAGGTGGCATGCGGAGCCATATCTGTGGGTGTATCTGAGTGTTGCCCTAGCTCAGCTCCAGCGCGCATGCGTGCGCCAGCCAACTGATTTTCGGGCCTTCAAGGCCCATTGGAAATTGGGAAACGGGCTGTTTCCGGCCTCCGGGGGGCCTCCGGAGGTGTGGGGAAGGCTGTTTTTGCCCCCCAAGCTCCAAAAAAGCCTCTGGGGAGGGCGAAAAACAGGCCTCCCGGGCCCACCGGGCCATCACATGCCAAAAGCAGGGGGTCGTGCAGGGGGCCCTGCGCATCCGCTCACATTTGCAAACCAGTAGCGAAGATAAGTGAATACACCCCTGGTGCAGAGGTCTTAAAGTTGCCAAGGTTGGACACCCTTGATCCAAATTTTGCTTTCTCTTGTTCCTCAGGAAAGCATCCCCTCCCTTCTGGGAATCCAGACCACGTTCCATCACACTTCCTTCCTCCAGTTTATCCCCTCGCTCACCCTGCTCTCCGTCATTGCTCTCTCCAGGTGGGGGATGCACAGTGACGGACACACCAGAGGGATCCTGCATCGAAGGGGTCCCTTTGCTACGCCCGGAGCTTCCTTCTGTTAACTTGGCTTTTTTGTCCAAGGCTGGTGTCTTCTCAGCTGCTTCAAGGAGAAAAATGACAAGAGAAATCAAACACTGCCAAGGAGCCGTTGCCACCTCCGCCGAATTGCTCTTTCCCACCTCACCCTTCGCAATGGACTTATGCACAGATTAGGACACTCTAGATCGAGAGCAGCTTCAACAACAAGAGGCGAGGAAGCTCCCTCTCTCCTTGCTTGGTGTGATGGGATGCATGAGTAGCCTTCAGCAAAGAGAAGAGGAGATGCTGCCCAGGGAACACTTTATAATGCCTTGGTAAGGCCACACTTGGAATACTGCACCCTGTTTTGATCGCCATGATATCAAAAAAAAAATGTTGAGACTCTAGAAAGAGTGCAGAGAAGAGTAACAAAAAATGTTTAGAGGACTGGAGGCTAAAATATACGAAGAACGGTTGCAGGAATTGGGTATGTCTAGTCTGATGAAAAGAAGGAGCAGGGGTGACATAATAGCAATCTTCCAATATCTAAGGGGCTGCCACAAAGAAGAGGGAGTCAAACGACTTTCCAAAGCACTGGAAAGCAAGACAAAAAGCAACGGATGGAAAACTAATCAGGGAGAGAACCAACCTAGAACTAAGGAGAAATTTCTTAACAGTGGAACAACTTGCTACCAGAAGTTGTGAATGTTCCAACACTGGAGGTTTTAAAGAAAAGATTGGACCACCATTTGTCTGAAACAGTACAGGGTTTCCTGCCTGAGTAGGGGGTTGGACTAGAAGACCTCCAAGGTCCCTTCCAACTCTGTTATTTTGATATTCTGAACAGTCAGGTAAGAGAGGGCATAGCCCACACAGCTATAAAACAGGCAGAGAAAAGAAACACAAAAAAAGATCCTCCCTAATGTAGGCCGTAAAAAGAAAGAGCGGGAGGTTTGCATTTTCAGACTTGCAAGATTCCATTAATGTAGCCTTCATAAAGTACATGTAGCTCATTTTTCTTCTGTTTCCTGTGCAGTTTACTTGGCTGACTTCCATCGTGCAAGTCTGAAAGCATAAATTTCCTGCCTGCCATTTTTAACTCCTAGACCAGTGATGGCGAACCTTTTCGGCACCAAGTGCCCCAACTGCATGTTCGTGCATGTGCACATGCCGGAGCACCGGAAACTCGAAGACCAGCTGGCTGGCATGCACATGCCTGTTTTGGGGGCGTTTTTTGGCTGTTTTCAGGCCATTTTTTGGGCCAAAAATGGCCCCCAAAAAACCAGCCCGAGAAATAATCCAAAAAACAGTCTGAAAACAGCCCAGAAAATGGCTCAAAAAATGGCCTGTTTTTAGGCCATTTTTTCAGGAAAAAACAGCCCAAAAATGGCCTGAAAGCAGCCTGAAAGCAGCCCGAAAAACGGTCTGAAAATTCCCCCCCAAATGGCCTGGAAAACAGCCTGTTTTTTGGACACTTTTGCCTGTCTTTTGGGCCAGTTTCAGGCCGTTTTCGGGTACTCCGGCGCTTGCGAAGACCAGCTGGCGGGTTCCGGAATCCAGAAGAACAGCTGGCAACAGCGCATGTACCCACAGAGAGCGCTCTGTGTGCCACCTCTGGTACGTGTGCCATAAGTTCGCCATCACGATCCTAGACCCACTAGGGCAGGTCCTTCCTAAGTGTCTTTCCTTGACCATTAAACAATTATGGCCTCTCTTATCTGATGGCTTCGTAGGCAGCATCTCCTCTCTCCTTGCCTCAAGGTTATCCATGAACTGCATTGCACTGGAGAAAGCGAACCATAACTTGCTCAAGGCAACCGAGCGTCTCCTGGGTGGGGCCATAATGCTCAGGTGGATTAAAAATTTGATGGTCAGGTCATCCACTTTCTCTAAGGCAGGACAGGGGCCAAGGTGCTATGTGCAGCTCAGAGAAGAGACGTAAACTCCCATTAGAGAGGGTTGATGGTCGCTGAGTAAGAGTTTACTCAGCTTTCTTCTGGCTGGCAGACAAGGCCCCTAAAATAAATGAGCTTGTCGCCAACCCTTTTGGGAAATTAATATGGGACTGACGGGCAAGTTAGGTGGTATGCAGAGTAATGTAATTATTCCTCTCGTTTTACAGTGTTTTATTCCTTCCACTTCGTTTGTGCTCTTATCTTATTTTACTGAACTTTAGTCTGTTGTTTTTATGCTCGGTGGGTCCTGTGAACTGTAATAAGGGCACTGAACTGAATGCTGATAAAGAGACTTCCTTTAAACGTACTAAGGGCAAAGAACGAGGGATGGGAAAAAAACCCTGGACATATCATACTAAAACCACAGCTGTGTCTGCTTGGTGTTAGCATGCTCTGTGTACCCAAATGCGTTCGGTGGGTGTCCATAGAAGGGATAGAGCGGGATCATTTGGTTAAATTTGGCAGCTACTGTGAGAGGTATTTTTCAAGAGCCAGCAGCAATCAAGCCGGAGATGTCATTATATCAGCAATAAAGAATCACACACTTTCAATCAATACCTTCATTTCAATAACAGGGAAATCAACTGTTTGCTGTGGCAGGATCCAATCTGGGTCGCTCAATGGGACCAGAGCTTTTGTCTTCTGAGCTTTCAGATTCATGCTGGAGCCAGGAGTGGGATTCAGCCGGTTCGGACCTAATTTTACATCTGGTTCGCCGAACCGGTAGTTGCAAGGACTGCCTGGCCCTGCCCACCCCACCCCACCCCTCCCAAGAATCTTCACGTGGCCCTTTTTGGATGCCAGGTAAGTGCAGGGCCTGCACAGAGGCTCTGAGGGGGGGGTGAAAAACGGGACTCCCAGACGTCCAGAAATGAGCCCGTTTCCAGCCTCCGGAGGGCCTCTGCAGCCTAGGGGAGACTGTTTTCGCCCTCCCAGAGGCTTGAGGAAAGCCTCTGGGGTTTGGGGAGGGTGAAAACGCCCCCCTCCCCCCCATGGTACAGGAGGCCGAGTAGGCCACCCCCAACGAGCCTGGATAGCTCTGCAGACAAGCCACTGTAATTTAACACCAGCTGTCTGCAATTAAAGTAAGTTCGAATCTCACCAGGCTCAAGGTCGACTCAGCCTTCCATCCTTTCTAAGGTGGGTAAAATGAGGACCCAGTTTGTGGGGGCAATAAGCTGACTTTGTATAAAATATACAAAAGAATGAAGGCTATTGCTTAGCACATTGTAAGCCGCCCTGAGTCTCCGGAGAAGGGCGGCATATAAATCAAATTAAAAAAACAAAACAAAAAACAATATGGCCACCCCCACCCAGCAACCGGGCAGAAAACTGGTTGCTAAAATTTTTGAATCCCACCCATGGCTGGAGCCCATCCTCAGGGGAACTTCTTTCTCACCAGAATGTGGTGAGTGAAGTTCTTTTGAGGATAGGCCATAGCATGAGTCCCAAAACTCAAAAGACTAAACCTCTGGCTCCGTTTACCAACCGACATTGGATCCTGCAACATTATCCTGGGACACATATATTTGCCTTTATTTATGTTTGCTATTACCATTCCATGGCACGTAATAGTCAGTTCCTGGATTAATAAAGGTTCTGGAGATAAGAGCCGAGGTGGTGCAGTGGTTAGAGTGCAGTACTGCAGCTACTTCAGCTGACTGCTAGTTCAGCAGATCAGCGGATCAAATCTCACCGGCTCAAGGTTGACAACTCAGCCTTCCATCCTTCCGAGGTGGGTAAAATGAGGACCCGGATTGTTGGGGGCAATATGCTATTTAGTATACCGTCTTTGGTGTAAGCCGCCCAGAGTCCTCGGAGAGTGGGCGGCATAGAAATATGACTAATAAAATAAATAAATAATAAATATTTACGAAAACAGCCAGCTGCAAGCTACCCCAAGCAAAGAGACCACCAGTTTGTAGCAGAGCTGTTAGGAGATCAGGACATTTCTGCCTAATGCACACAGGGATGTATTGTTTCTAGATTCCATTTGCTGGAATTCATGTATCCTCTTCTCTTTCACCAACCAGGAGGAGCCTGGTTTAGCTCAACAGACAGAAGCACTGTAATTTAACACCAGCTGTCTGCAATTAAAGTAAGATCGAATCTCGCCAGGCTCAAGGTTGACTCAGCCTTCCATCCTTTCTAAGGTGGGTAAAATGAGGACCCAGTTTGTGGGGGCAATAAGCTGACTTTGTATAAATATACAAAAGTATGAAGGCTGTTGCTTAACGCATTGTAAACCGCCCTGAGTCTCAGGAGAAGGGCGGCATATAAATCAAATAAAACAAACAAACAAACACCATAAATCTTGCTAAATGTCTATGGAGATTCTCCAACCTTGGCAACTTTAAGACTTAAAACACCCAGAATTCCTCAGCCAGCAAAGCTCCACAAGTCTTAAGGTTGCCAAGGTTGGAGACCCCTGCTCCGGGTCATGGTTGTCCCAAAGGTGCTTTTTCAAAAGGCAACTGGACTTTGTTTTTCCTTGAAGACGTTTCGCTTCTCATCCAAGAAGCTTCTTCAGTTCTGACTGAATGGTGGTGGATAGAAGGATTTATATTCCTTGCAGTCCTCTGGTCGTTAGCGCTCTCTCTGAGAGTCCTTGAGTCCACTTGGAGGTTTATCTGTGCCTTCAGGGTCACCTGAATAATATCCCGTTTACAACACAGTCCTTTCAGCAGTTCCAAGAAGATTCCACACCCATTTTTGCAACCATTCAGGTTGCCTTTTGAAAAAAGCACTTTTGGGACATAAAATCTTGTTAAAATTTACTCTGCTTAGAAAACAGTCACGTTCAGTTTTACTCAGATGCCGAAGAAACGAAGAGCAGAACCAAGAAAGTTCAGCTAAGCCAGAATCAAGCAGCCAAAACAAGCTGAGCAAAATTGTAATACTGAGATTTCCTGCCAAGTCCTGCTCTTCTAAACTGGGAAAAGGGTGTTTTTTTTTTCCTTACCACCACCAAAGTTTGATCCCTAATATTAACTATCTACGTATAAAGTGAATGCACCCTGGGAAGTAAAACCGAGCAAGTGCTTAATTTGTGCATAAGCCATAATTTGTGCATAAGCCATAGAGAAAAATGGTAGAATCTGTGCTTTATTTCCCTTTTTGCTGATTCAACGCGGGATCCATTGGGGGACAGACAGACAAGAGGTGCACACAATGAGCCATCGCATGCCAAGAATTTTCTTTGGGAACATGACAGGTATGATGAACTTTCGTAGGCATGTGGATGATTCTCATTAGTATATTACTTGATGGGCGAGAGTGCAACAGTGAATTAAAACGTTAGTGGCAGAGGTTACAAGAGGCAGATTAGTTCTACGTGGCTTCCTGATCAGAAGGATGGATGGGTACACGGGGTGCCATGCGTTACTACAGAGCTGGTAAGAGGAGGAAAAAAGTGGGGTGCTAGTACCTTCACCCTCAGGTTTGGGCTGTCTGTAATCAGAATCTACAAAAAAAATGCAGCAATATATATATATATAAAGGAGAAAGATGGGGAGAGAGATGTCATGTTAATCCCTTCCTAGCTATTGCCCAAAATTGCTTTTGGGTAAATCCCATGCCAGACTCACCAACCAGATGATCCGATGCACACAAATGGATCACATATTTTGTGGGCTGGTGGGATTTGTATTCCTTATTTGCCTAGCAACAATAACCACAAGCTTTAAAAAAAAAAAAAGAAAAGAAAGAAAGAAAATAGCCAGTTTCCAAAAGATGCTTCTGAAAACTTCAGTTGAGGTTATCCCTAGGATGAGTCTCAAGCCAATGCTGGCACCCAGTGGAACTGGAGTAAATCCAGATGTGCTCTAAACTATTTTTATTTTTTTTCTGAAAGGACAAGTAATTTAAGTTTTCTTCTTCCTTCTGCCTCAAAAAGGAATATCTTAATGATTGGTTAAAGCTATGGACTGGCTGGAGACATTTTTTCCAAGGATGAGAGCAGCGGTGAAATCCTCTGAAGTCTGCTGCAAGTTCTGTGAGTCTGCTAACGAGCGCGCGCTCTGCACACATGCGCGCCTGAGGCGCGCCCACGCAGCGCTAAAAAAGGAACATTTTGAAGCCTTCCGAGTCTGCAAAGGTAAGTAGAACAGCGAGGGGGGGGGAGGAATCCGCTGTGCCACGCGATTTAGATTAGCTAGAAAGCAGGAAATCTGACGATTCTAGCTAATATAAATAGCGCGTCACAGCTGATTGTCACCCAACTGATCATTGGAAATACCGGTTCAGCCAAACCGGTAGCATTTTTACTACAGGTTCGCCCAAACTGGTCCGAACCAGTAGCATTTCACCCCTGGATGAGAGGGAGGGCTACATAAAGGGTTTTTTTTTTTTTTTTTGGCGAAAGTATGTCATGGAAATATTTCTGGAATTGTGGGACTCTACCTGTTTGAGAGAGAAGATCTTTCCCAGTGCAAGTTCTGTTAAACTTACTCGAGGTTCAGTTTTAACTGTTATTTGTTTTAAAATTAAAAAATAAAAAATAAAAAACCACAGCTCAGGTAGTCCTTGACTTAGAACCACAATTGAGCACAAATTTCATTGCTTTTTCTTTCTTTTTTTGCTGCTTCCTCAGAACACTTTATTTTTTTTTCCTCCAAGTTTTTATTTTACTTTATTTTACATGTGTGCAGTGTGGCACCTGGGTATCATAGATTTTGGTGCAAATAAGAATAACAACTTTAATCATATTTGTTGCATTCATCAAATTTACGTAATTTCATTGCAAAGCAAGTCTGTTGTTAAGGGAGCTTTGCCCTATTTTATGACTTTTTCGCCACTATTGTTAAGTGAATCACTGCAGGTCATTCAGTGAATCTGGCTTCTCCCACTGACGTTGCTCGTCGAAAAGCCGGCTGGGAGGTTTACAGACAGTGATCATGTGACCGCGGGACAATGCAACCGTCGTAAATACATGCCAGTTGCCAACTACCCAAATTTTGATCATGCGACAATGGGGATGCTGCAATGGTCATAAGTGTGAAAACAAGTCCTAAGTCACTTTTTTTCAGTGTTGTTGTAACTTCAAACGGTCACTAAATGAATAGTTGTAAGTCAAGGACTACCTATAGTTTGACAGTTCAATCTCGGGGAGATTTCAGGAGCTTCAAAGAAGTGGCTCGGATCGCACGGAGCCAGACAATTGCAGACCCTCGTCCTAAGGAAATTGGGGGTTTAGGACAACAAATTCAATAAAGGGCTTGGGGTTGCCTCTGAACCAGGGCAAAGGAATTCATTTTGTGTACTTACAATGGGAATCCCCACGGTTCCAGCGGGCTGGGTCCAAAATGCTGAAGCCTTTCTTTGGTTTGAGAGCTTCCTCTGGTTTCTTGGTCCCTGAAATCTGGATTAAATCAGAGAAGAGAAACTGATCACCCGTTTCCAAATCCCAGGTGTGCACATGTGTCACCTCTCCTGCAGGAGCTGCACTGGCTCTTGGTGCGCTTTAAGGTGCTGGTTGTCAACTTTAAAGTCCTTCGCAGCTTGGGACCAGGTTACCCAGAATTCCCCAGCCAGCATTGTTTCTCAACCTTGGCCCTTTTAAGTTTTTTCCTGAATGCCATCACTCTGCTAAACAAATAATTCCCTCAACACTGTCAAACTATTTACTAAGTCTGCACTACTATTAATCTTCTCATCGTTCCTATCACCCATCTCCTTCCACTAATGACTGTATGACTGTAACTTTGTTGCTTGTATCCTTATGATTTATGTTGACTGTTTCCTAATATGATTTGATTGCTTATTTGTAACCTATGATTATCATTATACCTTATGATTCTTGATTAACGTATCTTTTATTTTATATACACTGAAAGCATATGCATCAAGACAAATTCCTTGTGTGTCCAATCACACTTGGCCAATAAAATTCTATTCTATTCTATTCTATTCTATTCTATTCTATTCTATTCTATTCTATTCTATTCTATTCTATTCTACTCTACTCTACTCTACTCTACTCTATTCTATTCTTCTAGATGGGTGGACTTCAACTCCCAGAATTCTCCAGTGAGCCATGCTGGCTAGGGAATTCTGGGAGTTGAAGTCCACATGTCTCAAGATTGCCAAAATTGAGCAATAGTAGTATAAAGAAAACAGTGGTGAGTGGCAGAAGGAGTTTGTCAACTCAGTTCTTGAGTACTACCCTTGCCCAAGTCCCAAAGAGAGCTTCTTGCATTAAAAATCCAATTCTATTTTGTCTTAATACACCAATTATTTCGAAGTCTGCTTGAGAAAGGGGCCGGATTAGAAAACCTCCAAGGTTCCTTCCAACTCTTATCCTCTTTAAGCCTACCTTTTTGCGGAAAAAGTTAGCTTTCGACTTCTTGTTATCGGCTGTCTTTGTCTTAACCCCCAGATGCTTCATATAGGTGACGATGGCGGTAAAGATGGCAGAGCTAAAAGGACAGAGCAGAGGAAAACGATTGTTCAAGTTAATGCAAAACACACTGTACAAGGCTGCCAGCTCAGAAGATTCAAGGCAGTATCTGGTTAAAAAGACACAACCAAATGCAGAAACAAAGACGCTTAATTGAACAGGGACTCGACACATATACAGCAGGAGTAAACAACTTTGTTGTGACCTGCCTCGCATTACTTCCTTTTTCCAGCCCTGAGAGTTACTAAGAAATCTGCTTTTTTTTTTTCCTTTTTCCTTTTGCTAAATATGCATATGCGTGTGGAAAATCTAAGCAAGATTTGGCAAAAAGAAAAAGAGCACTTAAGATACTTTCCAATTCACAAATCTGTTCCCCTGCTGATTTTGGGAAGTGTGATCCGGGTCACCAATGTGGGAGGGGCAACAAGTGAGGTCATGCATCCAGAGAGACACTCCTGACTACAGGTGGTCCTCAACTTACGGCAGTTCATTTAGTGACGGTTCAGAGTTACAAAAGCACTGAGAAAAGTGATTTATGACATTTTTCACACTTAACGACTGTTGCAGGATTCCCATGCTCAAAATTCAGATGCTTGGTAACTGACTCGTATTTATGACGGTTGCAGTGTCCCGGGATTTCCCTTTTGAGACTTTCTGATAAGCAAAATCAATGGGGAGGCCGGATGTACTTAGCAAAAGTATTATTCAATTAACAACCAAATTAGTAATTCGCTTTAACAACGGTAGCAAGGAAGGTCATTAAATGGGGCAAAAAAAATTTCACTAAACCACTGTCTCGCTTAGCAACTTAGAAATTTTGGGCTCAATTGTGGTCGTAAGTCGAGGACCACTTGCAGTGTGAGCAAATGGTCAGGACATTGGTGAAAGTTGATTCTGATGCTTTTATGCAGCCAGGACTTTCTCAGACCAAAACCTGGAAGGGTTAAATGACTGTTGCTCTTCTTCCCCTCCTCCAACTTCCTGAGACACAGAACTCAATGTGCTGCAAAGCCACATCCGGTTGCATGTAGGGGAGTGCAAAAGTGTATTTCCGCACCCCCCCCCCTTCCAGAAACACACACACAAAAACCATTCTGCACCTGTTGGTCACCTACCTTTTTTCCTCGTCGGCAGAAATGGTGAGGCTGGAACCAACGGGGAGAGGAAAAGAGAAAAGGAAAAAGAAAAAAAAAAGAAAATCAGGAAGCGAAAGACACATTCGGGCTACCTTTGCAATCCTTCCAACCCAGCTGTTTATCCAGAGGTTAACAGCTGGCCTACAGTGCTGCGAGGAAGTGGGGATTTCAACCCTCTGTCCTCTGCCACTCTCTGCCTTTATTTTATTTATTTATTTATTTATTTTTATTAGTCATATTTCTATGCCGCCCACTCTCCGAGGACTCTGGGCGGCTTACACCAAAGACAGTAGACTAAATAGCATATTGCCCCCTAACAATCTGGGTCCTCATTTTACCCACCTCGGAAGGATGGAAGGCTGAGTCAACCTTGAGCCTGGTGAGATTTGATCTGCTGATCTGCTGAACTAGCAATCAGCTGAAGTAGCTGCCGTACTGCACTCTAACCACTGCGCCACCTCGGCTTTAACTATTTGATCTGCTAGTTCTTTGGGATCCACTCCCATCATCCCTTGTTGCCGGTTGAGGCTGATGGGGAATTGTGGTTCAAAGCCTCTGGAAGATAACAGGATGCCTGGCCCTCCACCCAAGAGCGATGCCCCCTTTCTCCCTCTGGGACAGCAGCCTCTCAAAGCCACCCGATGCCCCACGCCACCCCTCTTTTCGTTTCTGGAAAACTCACCGGTAATACAGCCCCATTTTTGCTCAGTAGAAGCAGAAAAGTATTCAAAAGGCAAATAAACATGTTCTGTCTGGCGGAGAGAAAGCGACTGCTGGATGGACTGGCATACAGCAACTGGAGGGGGAAGGGGTCCGCCAGGAGCGTTTATACACTCGGCAAGGATGATGCAACCAGAGGCAACATCCCGGGATGGGTGGGGAACATTCCCCCCCCCTTCTCCTCCCCTCCTGCCAGCTGGATCCTATTATTCGGCAGGGATTTGCCAGGGACGCCACTGATGATCTGGCTGGCTCTTCGCTCTCATCCCAGCCCTGATGGGATGGTTGCCAGAACCAGAGGCTCCATCCTTGGGAAAAAAGGGATGGGAGGAAAAAAAGGGCTAGGAAGGAGATCCCGATTGGCAGGGAGAGGGGGAGCTTGCTTGAAATAGAAACCTTGGATGGGAACTGCAGCTGGAATAGAATAGAGGATAGTCCACTACAAAGGCAGACCGGCAGAGACAGCTACTCAAAGCCAAATGGTTGCAAACTAACAGAGTTGGAAGGGACCTTGGAGGTCTTCTAGTCCAACCCCCTGCTCAAGCAGGAAACTCTATACCTATCATGGCGAACCTATGACACGCGTGCCAGAGGTGGCACGAAGAGCCCTCTCTGTGGGCACGCCAGCTGCTCTTCTGGTTTCCGGTGCACAGCTGGTCTTCGTGGGTGCAGGAGCACCAGAAAATGGCCTGAAAAACAGCCTGAAAATGGCCCAGAAATGGCCGGAAAATGGCCCAGAAAATGGCCTAAAACAGCTCAGAAAACGGCCTGAAAACAATCAGAAAAACAGCCTGAAAACGGCCCGAAAGCAGCCAAAAAAAGGGAATGTACACCCCAGCCAGCTGGTCTTTGCATTTCCCCATGCTCCAGTTTGGGCACTCGGCCCCGAAAAAGTTCACCATCACTGCCCTAAACTATTTCAAACAAATAGCTGTCCAATCTCTTCTTAAAAACCTCCAGTGCTGAAGCATTCACAACTTCTGGAGGCAAGTTGTTCCACTGGTTAATTGTTCTCACTGTCGGGAAGTTTCTCCTTAGTTGCTTCTCTCCTTGGTTGTTGAGAACGATGGGTGTTTTCTGCACCCACCCCGGCTGCAGGCCCCCAACGGAAGAGACAAAATCCTCCGTGTGGGGCCCACAAACGGGAAGGTGACACCTGCAGCTAGGTATGGAGGTGAGGTCCCATTTAGGACTCTTTCCCAGCCTGCTCTGATGGGTGTGAGAGGCCATCTTCCTAAGCATGGTGACAAAACCTAGGAGTCAAGATGGCGCCCGGAAGGGATGCAGGGTTGCAGAAAGGGCTCAGGGGGTGCAAGAAGAAGGGTACGAGGTCTTGATCGTAGCCAGCGCAACATCAAAGAAGGAACGCCATCTCTGCTATGGTGAAGGAGGAAGCTGAAAGAGCAAGCTAACAGTCTATGCATAGCAGTATAAGCCAGGAGAACTTCACTCACTGCATCTCCTCCAGTTTGACCATCAGCTGTTCGGCCAGCTGTTTCTCTTTGGCCTCTCTGATGCCTTTGTCTTTGGTCCGATAGCCTTCCAGTTCGAAAAGCTCCTTCTCTCCTGGGGTCATTCCCATTTTCCTTTTTTCCCTGCGGAAACAAAAGAACAGGCGGTCGAGCGCTGTACGTTGGATGGCGTTAATAGATTTAATTCGACTGAATTAAATCCATTTCCAGAGCTGGCACAAAGCTCGGAGTCATCAGCGGAGCTCTGAGCACAACACGATAAGCTACAGAGAAACCTAATTAAGTGTGGAACTAACCAATGCTGGCAAGCTGTGCAAATGCTTTTCCCAGCCTAGTTGCCCATTGCTGCCTGAAGCCATCAATGATGGTTCACACAACACACTGAGTTTGTGTAACATAAAAGATAAACTTGTGCCGACTCTAGAGAGAGTGAGGCTCTTAGTCTTAGTCGAGGGAGCCAGCATTGTCTGAAGACACTTCTGTGGTCATGTGGCCAGCATGGTGATTTTTTTCTCCCCTAGAAGGCTTCCTTCCGACAAGCAAAGTCAATGGGGGAAGCCGGATTCTCTTAACGACTTGCATGATTCACTTAACAACCCTGGTAAAAAAAAAAAGATTGTAAAATCGGGGCGCAAGTCACTTCACCACCGCCTTGCTTAGTAATGGAAATTCTGATTCTAGAATTTGTCATACGTTGAGGACTATCTGTGCACCAGGGTGGTCAGCTGTGACAACTTCTCCACACTTTGCTGGTACCACTTATTTCCTATACTACTATTACTATACTATTACTATACTATTACTATAACTATACTATTACTATAACTATACTATAACTATATTATTACTATTACTATACTATACATTTCCTAGGACTTTGCTGTACTGGGCAAAGCTGAGAAAAGCTGAAGCCTCTTTAAGGGAGCACTAATAGGGGTTGTAGGCCCCCTCAAAAGTTTCCTTTCCTCTTTGAATCTACAACACAACCCATCCTTACAATTAACTCAGTCACTTATTTCTAGCTTTTGGAATCAAAAGCCTTATTAAAATATTTAAATTTAGTAGCTGGAGTAGTGAGATTGAACAGTGAGCCAAATCACACCGTTGTGATTGATTGATTGGAGGGGACTGACTCATGCCTGAGGCAAGCTGCGCTGCAATTGGTTACTGTGGATGTAAAGGGGGAGTTTCCTTTTTACCCGCCTTTTTTCGTCTGTGTGCTTTGTGATTTACCTCACGGTGCACCCATTTACCTGACTATCTTGTCTGCTGTAAATCCAGATGTTAAATATATTCATATATTATTATTATTATTTATTATTATTTATTAGATTTCTATACCGCCCTACTCCCGAAGGACTCAGGGCGGTGCACAGCCAAACAATAAAAACACATACAATACAAAATTTAAAAAATAGAATATATATAAAACTATAAATTTCTGTCAGCGTTTCTGACTTCATTTGGGCACCTGTCGAACAATTCCCTGACAAGCCAAGTTCAGATTACCCAACTCCTTCTGCCAATGGTGGTTCTTAAACTTTTTGACCAAATTATAGGCAGTCCTCACTTAACAACGGTGATTGAAGCTAGAATTTCCATTATTAAGTGATGTGGTCGGTAAAATGTGCCACTTAGTGACAGCAGTTCTAGCACTTCCGGTTGCCATCATAAAATGAATCCCATGTGGGCATTAAGCACAATGCCACATGGCTGGTATTTGGGACCTCCGGCTTGTGATTTTGATTGTCGGGAGGTGCAGCGAAGCCTTTTTGGGAGGGGGTCTTGAGAATTGTCGACTGCAAACCTGAAGTCTTCCAACTGCTGGGAGATCTCCATTTCTTGAAAGGATTGGATGTCCTGCAAATATTTTTTCAGTTGGTCTTCCGGGATGAGATCAGGCCTGTTTCGGTCTGCAATCAGAGAAGAGGAAAAAAACCTAAAACTTACAGCCAATGTTCGGCAATCACGGTTTAAGACAGCTTTGGGGGCAAGGAAAAAGAGCCACAAGGGCCCTATGCAATACATAACCCCAAGTTCTGTGGGGTCCTTGATGCACTCTGAGCTTGATTGTTTCTTCCAGACATTTCATTACCAAACTAGGTAACTTCTTCAGTGCAAAGAAGGGAGAAGGGCTGTGATGGCAAACCTATGGCACGCGTACCAGAGGCGGCATGCAGAGCCCTCTCTGTGGGCACATGTGCCGTCACTAACTTCTCTTCTGGTTTCCAGCGCGCCAGCCAGCTGGTCTTCGCGGGCACCAGCCTGAAAATGGCCTGAAAAATGTCCCAAAACACCCCAAAAAAGGCTGTTTTCCAGCCATTTTTCAGGCGGCTTGAAAACAGCCAGAAAAATGGCCGGAAAACGGCCCGAAAAGTGGCCATAAACAGCCAAAAAACAGGCATGCACGCGCCAGCCAGCTGATCTTCGGATTTCCGGTGCGGGGTTTGGGCACTCAATGCCGAAAAGGTTCGCCATCACTGAAGTAGAGTTTCGGAGGAGAATGAGGTCCTTCATGCGCTCTGAACTTGGTTTTTCTTCCAGACATTTCATTACCCAACTAGGTAACTTCATCAGTGATAGAAGGAAGTGGAATTTCCTCTCCCTTCTAGCACTGATGGCACCGCCTAGTCTGGTATAATGAAACATCTGCAAGAAAATAACCAAGCTCAGAGAGCACCAAGGACCCCCCAGTCTTTCTCCTCCTCCACTTTGCAAACCCTGCTCCCTTCTAGCACTGATAATGTTACCTCGTTGGGTAATGAAACGTCTGCAAGAAAACCACCAAGCTCAGAGAACACGAAGGACCCCACAGTCCTTCTCCTCCTCCTCCTCCTCCTCTCCATAAATCTCTCTCTAGTTCTGATGATATTCTCTAGTTAATGAAACATCTGCAATAAAACCACCAAACTCAGAGGGCACCAGGGACCCCATACTTCAACCCTGAACTACAAATATTCTCTTCTATCGGCAACCTCAAGTTTCCCAGCCTTAGGCTAGCCGAAGATTGCAAAGATTTTGTCAGTTCGACACTGAAAGAATCCATTTCCAACGTGGATTTTCCACGGCTCCAATTCACCAAGATTCTTGGTGGAGATTTCCTTCCTGTTCCATCCCACATCTAAATTCATCCAGCCATAAAGAGCCCCTGTGAAACGCTGCATCGCTCGGACTTTGTGTGTGTGTGTGTGTGTGGTTAGCGGCACTTCCAAGTCCAGGGGGATAGTTTTGCTGCTATATTTGTACAAATACAGCAATAAAGAAAGACGCAGACCGAAAGAGAGGACATGACATAAACCTAGTATATATCTCCCCAAAGCTTTCCCAGCTGTCTTGGCAACTGGCCTGCAGGATAAATAGGAGGGCTTGGTCTGCTGTGGTGAGCTGGGAACCACTGGGGGATTTGAAGCCCCCTTCCAAAGGGAGGGACCTCGCCTGTGATCTTTGTGCATACACAGCAAGAGCAAGGCAAATTGTTCGCAGCTGCTCCCATGCCACGGTCCCTGATCTGCTCCCATAAAGGAAGTTGTCCCGGGAGCAGGAAAAAAACAAAACCCTTGCTTAGAATTACAAGGCAACCATTTGTAGGGTGGGTGGTGCAGCTGTCGGAAGACATATGCTCCTCTCCAACACATGGAAGAGGGAACAATTCTGGGTTTGATCTGCAGTTGATCTCTTCTGCAGTGAGATCCATAGGGCGGTGATCTGGTGAGGCCCGAGATGTATCTCGGATCAAAAATAAGAACATGCGGAAAAATATTGGCAAGGGAGAGAGAAAGCTATTCATAGTCATGGCAGCGTTTTTTTTTTCAACCTTGGCAACTTCAAAAATTATTTGGACTTCCAGCTTCCAGAATTGCTGGCTGGAGAATTCTCACTTCTCCCTCTAGGATTAGAGTCCTACCACTTGCTAAAGGTTTGCAGTTATTTAATATGCATTTATTCTATACTGGTCCAGTGGTGAAGGCGCCAGTCTAGAAAAAAGGAGGCTGTGAGTTCTAGTCTTGCCCTAGGCATGAAAGTCAGCTGGGTGATTTGGGCCCAATCACCAGGAGACAGTGAGTTCTAGTTCTGCCTTAGGCATGAAAGACAACTGGATGACTTTGGGCCAATCCCTCTCGCTCTCGGCTCAATCCACCTCACAGGGTTGTTGTTGTGAAAATAAGAAGAGGACGGAGTATTAGGTATATTCCTAGCTTTGACTTGTTTATAAAAATAAAGGCGGGATTTAAAAAAAAACCCCTAAAATAAATAAATAAATACTTATGCTCAACATAAATAAAATGAGAGTTTCTGGCAACTTTTTCTAAATCAGGAACCTCAGCTATGTCTCAGCTTCTCTCTCTCCCCGCCCCCTTCTCTTTCATTCTCTCCTCTTTCACTCTCTCTCTCTTTCCCTCTCTCTCATTCCCTCTCCTCTCCCTCTTTCTCGCTCTCTCATTCCCTCTCTCCGTCTCTCTCATTCCCTCTCCTCTCTTTCTCTCTCATTCCCTCTTCTCTCTCCCTTTCTCTCATTCCCTCCTCTTTCTCTCTCCCTTTCTCTATCTCTCATTCCCTCTCTCCCTCTCCCTCATTCTCTCTTTCTCTCTCTCTCATTCCCTCTCCTCTCTCATTCTCTCCTCTCTCTCTAGTTCTTTCTCATTCCCTCTCCTCTCTCTCATTCTCTCTCTTCCTCTCTCTCTCGCTCCCTCCCTCCCCCTCTCTCTCATTCTCTTTCTTTGTCTCTCATTCTCTCTCTCCTCTCTGTACAACTAAGAGATCTTCTTTACAGAAAACAGTGACAGGATGTCTCTCAGCCCTTCCCCTCCTTAGTCTTTTGGGCAAGAAGTGCTTTCTGCACAGCTCAAAGCTCTTCCCCACCCTGGAAATGAGATTCATGCTCTGCCTACAGAGCTTCCAACTGACCTCCTAACCCCTCCTGCCATTTCAGGATCCCTTTGAGTGGAAAAAAAAGGGGGGGTTGGAAACAGCCTTCCGAGCTTATGTTGGTATGTGTCCTCGGCACCCGCCAAGTGTGTGGCTTTGCTCAGGTGTTGCAACCTGCAGGTGTGGCCGCTAGGTGACACTCGGAAGCTATGAAACCAGATGGCCCTACACCCCCACCCACCCCAACAGGCTCCTGTCCTTCCCTGCATGGCAGAGAAGAGAAGGAAAAAAAAACTCAGATGAGATGAGCTAATTGTTGGCAGGAAAACAGCGGCTCTCCCCACTGTTCTTTAAACTCTTTAGCTTCCTGTCTTTCATTTAGTTTCACCCGTCCCAGCAGCTGTAGCAAAACCAAGGGGTTTTGTTTGTTTGTGTGTGTGTGTGTGTGTGTGTAGGGTTGGGTGGGTTGGTGAGGGGAGAGGAGAGGAGAGGAGGGGGACTGGCAGAACTGGGGACCTGCAGCTTGGATCAAAGTCAGCCTGGAACAGCAGCTGAACCAACCACGTGTCTTGCACCACTGTGGAAAGTTAACACAATTGTTGTGTGTGGACCCAAGATTGTAATGCCTGCCCCTTCTCTCCTAGGGACCCTCAGCTGTTCCCTAGCAGCAAGCCTTGCGATGAACACTGACTTTCAAAGGTGTTGTTATTAGTTGCGAAGTCGTGTCTGACCCATTGCGACCCCATGGACAATGTTCCTCCAGGCCTTCCTGTCTTCCACCATCCCCCAGAGTTCATTTAAGCTCACGCCGACTGCTTCAGTGACTCCATTCAGCCACCTCGTTCTCTGCCGTCCCCTTTTTCTTTTGCCCTCAATCGTTCCCAGCATGAGGCTCTTCTCCAGGGAGTCCTTCCTTCTCATTAGGTGGCCAAAGGATTTGAGTTTCCTCTTCAGGATCTGGCCTTCTGAAGAGCAGTCAGGGTTGATCTCCTCTAAGACTGACCAGTTGGATCGCCTTGCAGTCCAAGGGACTCGCAGGAGTCTTCTCCAGCACCAGAGTTCAAAGGCCTCAAAGGTGCAAAGGGATATTTTCACCTTTCCTTCTGTCTAAAATTTCAGGGGTGTCCAACCTGGGCGACTTTAAGACTTGTGGACGTCAACCCCCAGAGTTCCCTAGTCATCCCTTCAGGCGGCTGAAATATGTGCATCCGAATGAGCTATAAAACTTTACTCTTTCCATGTAAACAATCTAACAAAACCGTAATGAACACAATTCAATGGCACCATCTGAAATCCGGTGGCTTTTCCACAATTTTGCAGGAATGGGGAAAAAGTAAGATCAGCCAATATTGGATTCAAAGATTTAGGGGTCATTTGGTTTAAAACGCCAAATCGCTTTCCAAAATTGAAGTGATGTGATGAGTGTGGACTGAAATGCTCCTGAACCAATGAGGTGAAAGAATACATGTTTCTGAATCGATCCGGAAAGCCAAAACCAAACCGATCCAAGTTAAGAATTCTGTTCAAATATCCGAATTGAAATAGTTCCATTTTTTTTCAATTGCATTCACAATTTAAACCAGATTTTACATGAGTCACTCTGGCCAAAACAACAACCATTTTCCCCAGCTGCCAGAATATGTTCTACAGAGGAAAGAATTGTGTGCACAGAATCAAACAAAAGAGATTTATGCAAATAATTGCTTAAATCAGGTTTCTCCAACCTCATGTCCCTTCCAGATGTGTTCAGACTGCAACTCCCATAACTCCCAGCTAATATGGCGAACACAACCCTAATATCCAGTTAGGAAAGGCGGAAAGCAAAGCTGGCGGAGGAACTCTGGGAGTTAAAGTCCACAAGTCTTAAAGTTTCCAAGGTGGGTGATCCCTGGTGTATAACACAGCAGAAGCTACACAAATCTTTAGGGCAATCTCATCTAGACTGTGAAAATCAAGATCACCACCAGAGGGCAGCAAAGTGATTTTTTTAAAAAAAGCTTGAATGTTTTGCTGCCCTCTGGAGGTCATCTGGATTTCTGCAGCTCACATCTGATTCATTTATAAACTCTGCTCCAGATCATACAACAAAATACCTCACAAAAGTTGGCCCTTACCCAGTTCAAACTGCACAGCATTTGGAACAGGGACTCTCAGCAGCTGTGAAAGAGATAAGAGAATGCAAGGAGCAGATAAGAATGCAGGGACTGAAAATAAAGCAACTATCAATCATGAAGACTATCTGGAACCTTTATATAAGTTCTTACTATCCTGTGAACCAGGGGAATGAGAACAAATGGTGTAAATCTGACCTGGAAGGGAAAGAAAAATAATCTGACCTTCATTACCAATTATCAAAAGAGTTGGGGTGGAAGTTTTCTTTTCAAAAAGTCTTCCCAGGTGTCTACTCACCCCCGTTTTGTCTAAGAAGGAATGGCAAAAATCCACAAAATGCTTCTTGGCTTCCTTGGGCCCAAGGCGGTTTAGGATGAGGTCCACGTGCAGGTAACAGAGCTACAGGGAGAGAAGATATTAAAGGAAACCCACAGAAGCTACTACAGAGACTGAGCTTGTGTTGTTTTCATTACCCAACTAGGTAACATCTGTAGTTATGGCTGGGGAATTCTGGGAATTGAAGTCCGCCATTCCATCTTAAAACTGGAATGTGGGGAGCGACTTGAAAAATCAGAATGGTTGTCACGATTGGGATTGAAGATTTCCCCCCATTTAAATAGACAACTCTTTCTAGCAATTTTTAAAAGATATAACTAGCAGCCACAAACTCAGAAAACATGGGAGGGATACTGGACTTATTATGGGGTCCCAGGCTGTATTTTTCTATTTGGAGGTGTTTTTCCTCACACTTATAACCATGTTGTGTTTTGTCGCCCTTGACAACAATCTCTGTTGTCCATTGCCAGTTAGACTGCCACTATATTATGTCACACGTTAATGTTACTTAAGGAGGGTGGCAAGAATCATGCAACTTCCCTTCCTGTCATACTAGACTCATCCAGTCCAGCAAGAAATGCATCAGTGATTCTTCTACAGCTGTGTTTCTCAACCTTTGTAACTTTAAAATGCGTGGACTTCAATTCCCAGAGTTTCCCAGCCAGCATCATTTTGCCTTGGAACTCAATCCACAGCACAGCCTAACACAGGGGGTCTGCAACCTTAAACACTCAAAGAGCCATCTGGACCCGTTTCCCACAGAAAAGAAAACACCGGGAGCCACAAAAACCCTTCCTGTGCCTGACTATTTCTTGAGCGGCCACAAAACTAGCATAAGTAGTTGAATTAAACGTTCCGTTTTCTTCTGAAACTTTTCTTTTCTTGGATTTATCCATGGTTGGCCTACCAGGAGTTGAAAAGCTCAATAAATCGTGTGCCAGTGAGTGTTGCACATTGGCGGTTGTGACGCATATTTTGAGTAACAGGGAGCCGCAGCAGAGGGATGAAAGAGCCACATGCGGCTCCAGAGCTGCAGGTTGCCGACACCTGGCCTAACACATCGATGTGAACGGTACCGGCATGAACATGTGTGCATTCAATGCCTGTTGCGCCACAATGTACGTTTAAACTTTGAGGATCCGTCTCTAGCAGCTTCAGTGGAAGAGGGTGTGGTGTTTCACGGTGGTTAAGTTGTAGGTTACGGGGTGGGGGGAAGCTGTGCAGAAGAGGAAGGGAGTTGAGGCAGTTGCAGTGAAAAGAAACACAACACAAGGATGTTGTCAGCTCACCACAGGGCTCGAATCGAACTGCAACACCACATGTTGTATGAAAACCATCAAGTAGGCAGGGTGCTTCATCAGGATCTCCAGGTTTTGGAACAAGCTGGTTTGAGTGTCCGGGTGCTGGAACTGTGGAGAGAATCCAAAATAGGAAAAAAAATAAGAAAATAGCTATAGCAGGGATATTAAACTCAAGGCCCCGGGAGGCCGGATCCCATGTGGGCATTAAGCACATGGCTGGTATTTGGGAAATAGTGAAGGACTGGCCCGCGGGGCCTCTGCCAGCGAAAACGGGATCCTGAGCTCCGTTTTCGGCTGCTATGGCCTCCTGCAACTCTCTGCCAGTGAAAACGGAGCATTTTCGCTGGCAGAGGGTTGCAGGAGGCCATAGCAGCAGAAAACGGAGCTCGGGATCCCATTTTCGCTGGCAGAGCGTTCGGGCCGAGACAAGTGACGTCGAGCTGGCCACGCCTACTCCGGCCCCCAAAGGTCAAACAGAACCCTGATGCGGCCTCTGATGAAATCGAGTTTGACACCCCGGAGCTATAGGGTCCATAGTGCTCCCTGAGCTTACTTTTTTTTCAGACATTTCATTAGGTAACTAGGTAACATCCTCAATGCTAGAAGGGAGTGGCGTTTGCTATTATTGTTATATACTACCCTGTTTTCCCCAAAAGAAGACCTCCCCTGATAATAAGCCCAATCGGACTTTTGAGCGCATGGCAATAAGGCCAAACGCTTATTTCAGGGTTCAAAAAAATGTAAGACAGGGTCTTATTTTCGGGGAAACATGGTAGTATCTTGCCCTGGGTATATACTGTAAGTATATAAAACAAAGAGCAAATCCCACTCCTTTCTACCACTGATGTTACCCAGTTAGGTAATGAAACGTTCAGGAGAAAACCACCAACTTCTGAAAGCACTAAGGGCCCCACAGTTCAGCCCTGAGCTACAAATATTCTTTTCTATCGGTACCAGAAATAGCTTCCTTAGCTGTCTTCAACACCCTTGGGAATGGAATGTCCTCATCCAGCCACTATAAGGCCAGCTGTCTGTTTCTTCAATCTCCTGTTCAGATCCTCCTGTGGTTTTTGTCCCGTCCAGCATTAACTTCAGAAGAATCTTCAGGATGGATTCAGGCCAGCAGCTGATCAAATCTGGCCTTTTATGCTACACGTTCAACTCAATGTTGTGTTTGTGGAGCAGTGTTTATCAATCTTGGCTGCTTGAAGATGCGTGGGACTTCAACTCCCAGAATTCTCCAGCCAGCCATGTCTTGGGTTGAGACATCTTCAAGTTACCATGATGGAGAAGATGGCCTATTTATGATTCTGCCCAACCAGGTAGTAACCAGGATCGGGTTTTAAAAGTCCCATCCAAGTGTCTACAATTGTGGGTCATCCCAGTTTGATAGCAGTGAGCTTCATAATTTAAATTCACGTTTCATGAAGAAGCCGTTTCTTTTTCACTCCGAAATTTTTCCCTCCCGAGTAGTTCCATCTCGGTTGGAAATACGGAAGTACTAGATTCCCACGTTTGGCAGGAGATTGGACTAGATCAGGGGTTTCCAAGCTTGGCAACTTTAAGATTTGTGGACTTCAACTTCCAGAGTTGAAGAATTCTGGAAGTTGAAGTCCACAAGTCTTAAAGTTGCCAAGCTTGGAGATGCCTGGACTAGATAATCTTCAAGCTCCCTGCCCACCTCTGTATTCTATAATTCTCGGAGTCACAAACAACTCTTGAGCTTGATCATGGGGCAGGAGGGACCCCTCCATTTCCATATCCGGCATATGATTCAATAAACTATAGCTAGTCCTCAATTTACAACTGTAACAGAGCCTGCTTATCACCTGTCATAAGTTGAGGACTATCTGTATGCATTATAATGTCATTTCTTCCACGCTTTTCCCAAACCTAATCCCTCTGCCATTCCATGTAGGAGATCCACTTTATCCTCTTAATCTTCTTAAGGTCCCTCTTGCGTTTGTTCTGCTAATTTTCCCACTTACAGGTTCAATGTCATTTTCAAAATCCTCATCTTCTGCACCAATGATGGACATAGCCATGCCCCCTTGAGCTCCCAGGGCTGAACTCTGGAGAAAAAAAACACCAGAAATCCCCAAGGTCATTTAGGCCAGGGGTCACCAACCCCCGTCCCCCCCCAGGCTATGGCCCACTACCGGGCCATGGCTGTCTGTCTATATAATCTACCTATCTATCTATCTGCAATCTATCTCTCTGCCTGTTTGCTTGTCATCTGCCATTTATCTATCTGTCTGCTTGCCTGCCTGCCTACCTACCTTCTACCTGTCTGTCATCTGTCATTTATCTACCCTGTTTCCCCAAAAATAAGACATCCCCTGATAATCTCAATCGGGCTTTTGAGCGCATGTACTAAAATAAGCCCCTCCCCTCTTTGAAAATAAGCCCTCCCTGAAAATATTTAAATGCTTGCGCAGCTGGTCCTGGCCATTTCCTCTGGTTAGGGTTAGGGAGATAGAGCTGGGAATCAGGTAAGACGGCAAGAGGAACCCCGTCTTGCTCCACGCGGCCCAAAATAATAAGACCTCTCCGAAAATAAGGCCAAGCGCTTATTTCAGGGTTCAAAAAAAGATAAGACAGGGTCTTATTTTCGGGGAAACACGGTATATGTTTGTCATCCATCTATCCATCTACCAGTATCAATCTATCTACCTACCTGTCATCCATCTATCTATCTGTGTCTGTCATCTATCTGTCCGTCTGCCTGCCTACCTACCTACCTTCCTGTCATCTATGTGTCATCCATCCATCCAAATCTATCTATCCATCTGTCATCCATCTGTTTCTATCTATCTGTTTGTCATTTGTCATCTATCTATCTGCCTGCCATCTATCTAGCTAGCTAGCTATCCATCCATCCATCCACATGCACGCCCCTCCATCCTATTTGCAAATACACCCCAGCCAATTACTTACTCCATTGTAACCCTCCTCTAACTCCATTCTGCCCCCTTGGGGGGGAAAGAGGGTCCCCAGCACCTGAGTCAGGGTGTCCAAATAGCCTGGATCAGCATACACCTAGTGGCACAAAAATAGTATTATAATTACAATATACACAACAGTGTGACATCACAAATGCCTGTTCTTTAGCTGGCATTGGCCTTCATTTGCATCGAGTCCTTTCCAAGAATGTAGGATGTCATAATATTTTGATGTATTATGATTATTATTATTATCATCATCATGGTTCGTTGCAGTCAGCCAGATGTTTAGATTGGATTTGGCATTTTTGTCCCCCTACTGAATCCTTTCAAAAGACCCTGTGACAGACAGATGTGGGAAAATGGACAACCTCTATCACCAATCCATGATCTGTAAATCAGATGTTGCCAAACCTGGAAACTTTAAGATTTGTGGACTTCCTATATACTGCTCCATTTGTCTCAAATTATAGAGTTTCTCCTGCTTGAGCAGAGGGTGGGAGTAGAAGACCTCCAAGCTCCCTTCCAGCTGTAGTCCGATTGACTGATTGATTGATTTAAATAGGAATGAAGCGAATTGGGGTTGTGGCTGCAGCATAGAGCTTAGCAATTTTAAGATGGGCGGATTCCCCATCCATCTGAATTCCCTCAGCCAGCACTTGTGGACTTCAACTGAGTCAGCATGCGTGGACTCCACTAACCCAAATTCCCCAGCCTGGCATGTTTGGACTTTAGTAGGGATTTTAAACCCAGAATGGTAGCCGCCATTTTGAATTTATTGCCTCTCCTTGCATACAACCCTGGAAGTCGGTCCTTGTCGTTCACATTTGCAATGGTTTATGGTGTTTCTCCTGGCAAATGGATGGGGAAGAAATGGAGGTAGTGACAGATTTTATTTTCCTGGGCTTCAAGATCACCGCAGATGGGGACTGCAGCCAAGAAATTAAAAGACGTTTGCTCCTGGGGAGGAAAGCTATGGCAAATCTAGACAACATATTAAAAAGCAGAGACATCACCCTGCCAACAAAAGTGCGTATCGTCAAGGTTTCCCAGTTGCAATGGATGGCTGTGAAAGTTGGACCATAAGGAAGGCTGAGCGCCAAAGAATGGAGGCCTTTGAACTCTGGTGCTGGAGAAGACTCCTGCGAGTCCCTTGGACTGCAAGGAGATCCAATCGGTCAGTCCTAGAGGAGATCAACCCTGACTGCTCTTTAGAAGGCCAGATCCTGAAGAGGAAACTCAAATCCTTTGGCCACCTAATGAGAAGGAAGGACTCACTGGAGAAGAGCCGAATGCTGGGAACGATGGAGGGCAAAAGAAGAAGGGGACGGCAGAAACGAGGTGGCTGGATGGAGTCACTGAAGCAGTCGGCGTGAGCTTAAATGGACTCCAGAGGATGGTAGAGGACAGGAAGGCCTGGAGGAACATTGTCCATGGGGTCGCGATGGTTCGGACACAACTTCACAACTAACAACAACAACAACAGCAACAATGGTGCTTCTGCTTTTCCCTTTTCCTGTGATAAAATGTCCAAGGTCTGGGATATTTGAAAACCTTCGTTATCTATATTTGTTTTGTTGTCTCTGAATTCCAGACGCAGGTCCAACCTTCCATCAGATAGAGACAGTCTTTCCCCAAACCCAACCTAAGGAGCCTTGGTGGCGCAGCGGACTAAACTGCTGTTAAAGTAGCACTTAGCTGCCAGCTGCCTGCAATTACTGCAAGTTCAAATCTCACCAGGCTCAAGGTTGACTCAGCCTTCCATCCTTCCGAGGTAGGTAAAATGAGGACCCAGATTGTGGGGGCAATAAGCTGACTTTGTATAAAAAAGAACACCACTGAGGGAGGGCCGAAAGCCCTACTAAACAGGTATATACAAAAGTATGAAGGCTGTTGCTTAATGCATTGTAAGCCGCCCTGAGTCTCCGGAGAAGGGCGGCATATAAATCGAACCAATAAATAAATAAATAAAACCTTGACAACTTTGAGGTTCGGACTTCAACTCCCAGAATTGATTGAATACATCCAACCTTGATTTAGTTTGGAGTGTGGGAAGAAGACAAATGCCGACTCCAACTGCAACCCGTTTCCAGGGATATAGGCAAAAAAAAAAAGAGAGGTATAGAACAGGGGGGAGATTTCATACACAGGAAGGTATTCAAGCTACCCCCCCTCAGCCCCCATTACTCAGAAATTCCTGCCTTAGGTGGAGGTGAGTGTGGCATGAATGCTTGCCTCTGTTACCTACAAAGAGGCCTCAGAGACGCGGCTGGCAGTAGGGAAAGTCCACACCCCATAGGCAGCCTGACTCATAGAGGGCATTTTTCCAACAGGCTGGCTGGTTGGCACTAAGGCAGGGAGGGGCTCCCGTTGGGGAGGGGAAAAAATGGGTCAACTGTGAAAAAAAAAAAAAATAGCAGCACCCCGTTGCAGCATCCTGGAGGGCTGTAAGGTGGGATTCTGTCCAATAGCAATACTAACAGCACTTAAAACAGCATAGTCCTCGACTTACGACAATCGAGCCCAACATTTCTGTTGTTAAGAGAGACACTTGTTAAGTGAGTTTTGCCCCATTTTATGACAGTTGTTAAGTGAATCACTGCAGTTGATAAGTTAGTAACCTGGTTGTTAAGTGAAGCTGGCTTCCCCATTGACTTAGCTTATGAGAAGGTCGCAGAAGGGGATCGCATGACCTTGGGATACAGCAACGGTCCTTAGTAGGAACCAGCTGCCAAGCATCTGGATTTTGATCACATGACTACGGAGATGCTGCAGTGGTCGTAAGTTTGAAAAACGGTCGTAAGTCACTTTTTCCGGTGCCGTTGTAACTTCGAAGGTCACGAAATAAACCTGTTGTAAATCGAGGACTACCTGTGCCAATAGCATTTAAGATTTATGTACTAGTCCATAGTGCCTTACAGCCGTGTCTAAGCGGTTTACAAAGTCAGCCTATTACCCCCAGCAACAGACCTCGGAAGGATGGAAGGCTGAGTCAACCTTGAGCCTGATGAGATTCGAACTGCTGGCAGTTGGCAGAGTTAGCCTGCAATACTGCAATTTGATCAGTGGATCAAATCTCACCGGCTCAAGGTTGACTCAGCCTTCCATCCTTCCGAGGTGGGTAAAATGAGGACCCAGATTGTTAGGGGGCAATATGCTATTTAGTATACTGTCTTTGGTGTAAGCCACCCAGAGTCCTCGGAGAGTGGGCGGCATAGAAATATGACTAATAAAATAAAATAAATAAATAAAATACTGCATTCTAACCACTGCGCACCATAGAAGGGGAGGGAAGGGAAGGGAAGGGAGGGAGGAAAGAAGGAAGGGCAAAAGTACTTAGACCTATATGCTGCTCCACAGTGCTTTTACAACTCTAAGCAGTTTACAGAGTCAGCCTATTGCCCCCCAATGATCTGGCTCCTCATTTTACCCACCTCAGAAGGATGGAAGGCTGAGTCAACCTTGAGCCGGTCAGGATCGAACTCCAGACCGTGGGCAGAGTTTGCCTGCAATACTGCATTCTAACCACTGCGCCACCAGGGCTCCCCAAACACCGATGCTCCTCAAGGGGAGAGGAGGCCAAATAACACAGCGATCAGGATTCAGCTGATCCTCTTTTCATGCCCCGGGGCTTTTTTTTTTGGCCACTAAGTGGCACATCCTCCTTCAAGAACGGGAAACCGAGCTAGTCCTCGACTTACAACCCCAGTTAGGAACAGAAATTCTGTGGCTAAGCAAGGTGATGATTACGAGCCCCACCGGATTTTACGACCTCTTTTGGCCACGGTTCTTAAGCAAATCACTGCAAGTTGTTAAAGTGACTTGTGTAGTTGTTAAGCGAATCTGACTCCTCCCACCCACCCCCCACCCCCAATTGACTTCGCTTGTCGGAAGCAGTTTGCAAAATGGCGATCTGATGTCCCCGGGATGCTGCACCTTTTATAAATACAAGATGGTTGCCAAGAGGTCAAATTTTGATCACATGACCACGGGGAGGCGCCGATGGTGGTAAGTCACTTTTTTTTCCAGCGGTGGTGTTATTTTGAACAGTTGCTAAACGAATGATCGTAAGTCATCTGGGGGTTCGGCAGAACCTCCAGCTAAGATTCTGTGCAGTTCGGAGAACCCCCCAAACCTCACTCCTGACTGGCCCCGCTCACCCCACCCTTCCTAGGAGTTTCAACGTGGCCTGTTTTGGATGCAAGTAGGTGCAGGGTGTGCGTGGAGGCTCGGGGAGGGCGAAAAACAAAGCTACTGGAAGTTTGGGAGGGCCTCCAGAGCCTGGGGAGGCCGTTTTCGCCCTCCCGGAGGCTTGAGAAAAGCCTCCGGAGTCCGGGGAGGGCAAAAAGCCCCCCCCCGCCCATGGTGCAGGAGACCGACTAGGCCACGCCCACCATGGCCACGCCCACCCAGAAACCAGGCAAAGAACCCCTTGCTAAAATTTTTAAAGCCCATTCCTGGGACTATCTATATTCCTTTTTCAGGACTCAGCGTCCCTCTTAAAGGAACAGTGAAAAGCTGGCATGAAGGACTGGGTGGCTACTTGTAGCCGCCTAATGGAAAAACCACGGGCTTTTTAGCAGGCAATTTTGGCACCTAAAAGTTTTGAGGCTCCATAAAATTTGCACAAATTAAATGAAACCAGATTCTGAAGTTCCTTTCGGGACATGTTTACACCCGGCCCATCATAAGCGATTCATCATTTAGCCACCTGTAGACATAGAAATTAAGTCCAGAAGGCATCTTCAAACAGAATAAATCAAAATCTGGGTCTTCTTTTGTCATTGGGCTCGCCGACAGCCCACAAAAAACGAGAAATGCAAACTCAGGACAGAAAACATTCTTGAGGACTGGTAGCTTTATAACAGGCAGGCATATCTATGCAGGAGTGAGCTGAATTGGAAACTGAATTTCACGTTTTAATCAAGAGAGCTTCCAGCTAAGGATATATTTTCCTTGAAAGAGATTCTGAGTTGTTGTTGTTGTTAATGTTTTAACAGTCATCCCGCCATAGGCACACACCCATAAATTCAAGATATTGCTCTTATGTACATTCCGATGTACTTAGTAGAAAAAGCTGAGCTACTGTTGGATTTC